ATACATATATATATATATATTATAATATATATTATACGTCATGCATTTTGCCCTCTTTATTATCGCAATAGTTGTTCCATAGTGTTTTAGCCAATTCATAGCACGGTAGTTCGCCAGCATGTGTAGCGACCATCCGCAGAAGAAAGACACCATCCTTTAATTAATTGATTATCCGCTATCAGAGAAGCATATTGCTTAAACGCACTTGTCGCAAGAAATGGAAAACAAAACGGCGTAATGACTGAGAGTCGACCATTTTGTAGCCTTCAATTCCTGTCAAATATTTTCCAACAAAGTTCAATTGTCTAAAATATTTCTATTGTTTTGGGTAGCCTTTTTATTATTCTATGTGCATTTCTTTGAAGAAATTTCCTTTTTTTCTTTTCTTCCTCTTAAAAAAGAAGAGAAAAAAGGGAAAAGAATGATAGAGTGTGAATGAGAGAGAGCATGTCAAATGCACTCATGCAAAAACGATACCTGCTCGGAACAACAGAAATATAAATCCAGTAAAAGAGCGAACACACAGTTGCTCCGGCAAGTAGGAAGTACCAGAACCATAAGAATAAGAATATTTTTTCATTAAACATATTAATCATTAGGACACATTGAACTGTGTGACGATGGACATTCCCCAGAACCTAATTAGAATATATTTAGAAATGGATTCTCTGTTTTCGAATCTTACTTTGACTTCGAAATCACAGAGTGTAACTCTTGGGAAATGTCCTGACTCTTCCCATTCCCTTCCATTCATAAGATCATTCAGAACCTATGAGAAGGACATTTTAGTATTAGCTATTCCCATATTATGTTATTTTTGATAATAACATCTCTTATTCAGCTTTCTTACCTGCAATCCATACCATTTGCTACGATTCCCGAGAAATGTGTTTAACAGAAAGATTTGGCCAACTATGTTAACTGTATACAATATTTTGATGGATATATATAGAAAAGTGACAGCTGCTCCAGATGATCGAGTGCATATTATAAGATTTAGCAGCTTCAAGCGATTTCCACTCATCTGTAACATCAAAGATGTAGCGCTTTAATTGTTTTTAATTAAGTATACCACTTGATGTTTGACGTGGAGTGCTTCTTCAACATTAGTGGCTATAGTTTGCAAGGCTCGATTCCTCGATTCTAGGTCAAGAAGACGGGAATCACATGCCATTTGTACAAGTGATTGAACATGGATTCCTAAAACAGAAATTGAGCTTATTACAAGTCTTGAGAGTTTTAGAGCACCAGATTGCCAGCTCAATAATCGCCATACTATAGTTGGAACATAAAACAATAGAGCCTCTAAGGCTAGAACAAATGGAACCCATTGGTAATAACTGAAATCAGATTTGTAGACAGTGTCAGAGTCAGAAGGGCTAATGAAGACAGATATCTTCATTAATGAGGAAATCAAGCTGACCCTATTTGTCTATTCTCTCTTTCCGCATAATTGTGCGGTATATAATCATGTAGAGGTAGAAAGTAAGTATTTTGCACCCAACAGTAATTCTCAGTATACTGTTCCATAGGCTCTGTGAAAGTTGCCGGAACCCAACATTGGATTGGAAAGCCTGAACAAAAGAAAAGAAAATGAAGTTAGTCGTTAGTGAGTGTGGATATGCATACCAACATACTGCTTTGCCGATACCAGAATAGCAAAAACTGAAAAACGAGCAACGTTAGCAAGAATGCAGAAAAAAGGAGATAATTGAGGTATTTATTTATTTTTTTCATTTTTTTTCCTCTCCCTCTTTTTTTTAATGAGTATTACCTGTTATTATCGCCGTCGTATAGTAGTAATTCAGTTTATCGATTATGTCATCATCAACATGAAACTGAATTGACTTGACTGCGCTTGCAAAATAATACAAAAGCATTTTATTAGAAATAGAAAAATAAGACTTTGGCCAAGGTCAATAAATTTTGAAATAATGGAATGCTAGAACTCTCGCATGCCTATCGATTTGTGTTGAGGGGGGGCAACCTGCCAAAAATCTGCAAATATTACTTATTCAAGATATCCTGCGTCAACGATATTTCCGACAAAGTTTTCAATATTCAAGGAGAGCAAAAAGTCATGTTTAATAATGTAAAACGAAGAAAATGAAATTGAAAGAGAGAGAGAGAGAGAGAGAGAGAGAGAGAGAGAAAGAAGAGAAAAGGAGGGGAAGAAGGGAGGGAATGATGGAAGAAAATTGGAAAACGAGAGAAGAAAAGTTAACAGAGAGCAGTTTTATCGACTAAATATATTTCAAGTTTTTGAAATTTCTTACTATAATAACGTGCCTACGTTTTTTTCGGATCATAAAATAAGAAAAAGCAAAAGTTTTGGATAATTTATTCTTTCTTTTTTGCTTCTTTCACGGAAGCCTTTTGGAAAACAAGAATACTGATGCAAAGAAGTCGAAAAAACAAAAAGAAAATACTTCTTCATCTATGTGACAAAACTTTTGCTCAGCTTTTTTTAATGTGTTGTGTGTTGAACGGAAAGGATGTGTGCGTGTGTGTATGTGTGTGTGTGTGTGTGTGTTTTTTGAGTTGGAGTAGTTAATATAACTAGGTTTTATGTGGAATTAATGCTGTATGAAGGGAGGGATGGAGGACAGACAAGAAGAAAAGTTTTTCTTTATTGAAGTCTTAAAGAAAGAACAGCACATGTTTAGCCTAGTGAAATATTATAGAAGCAGTTTGGAGTCTCTGTTTAGTACAAGAGCCATATGAAGAAATGAAAAAGAAATGGGAGACGGCGGAGCAGACAAGCTAGAGATAATGAAAATGCTGTAGAGAGGGAGAAACATGATGCACTAGTTGAGAGAAAGTAGGAATACGTCATTTGAGCTAGTAAAGCTGGAAACTTCCAAGGGAGAGACAGGATGATCTGAGAGAATTGGTAGAATATGTGGTAATAAGAGGTTCTAGAGATAGAAGGAAGCAGATGGCGTTTAGCGAAAGTCGTTAGGGGAGTGATTTGCCCTGCTCTTTCATTCATACATTCTCTTTCTTTCCTATACTCTTTCGCTCTCTCGCATCTCTCTTTTCTGTTCACATCTCGTCTTTCTTTCGTCCACTCTTCTATTGAGGCAATACTGCCTAACTATTTTCGGTTCAGTGCCATTTTGTAAGTTTTCCTATTTGCTTCAAAGTTAATAGAGAACTCCGTTTTAAGTCGTTTCAAGGGATAGAATTCAATATTCAAAAATCGAGAAAGCAATCATTTATAAAAAGGCTGAACAAAAAAGTTAATCCAAGATGTAGATGGATGATAAAACACGTTGAGAGAAGGCAGGCAAGGAGGGTAGGGGACAAGAGCACAAAAAGAGGAATTTGTAAAACATCTGGCACGCAAATTCTTTTCTATTCTGCAGTTGTATATTTAAAGCTTCTCCTTTCTGCTTTTTTCGGTTGATTCTAAGACCCGCGTACTCACATTCATTTTTCATCAATTTTCCAACAAAACATTATTCGTAGAAATGATGAAAAATATTCGCAGAGGCCTCAACACAATCCCGCAAAATCGATAGAAGATTTTATAAAAAGCTAAGCAAAGCAAAATGGATTGAATACACAGCAAAATATGGGTAAAAGGCCGCTATGCCACAGGCGTGAAACTCGGAGCTTCATGGTAAAGTTTCTACCCATAAAGAGTAGAGCCTGAAAATGACCGATTGTTTATGCTTCAATGTGTTTCAACGCTGCCTAGTCTTCCGAACAAAAAATTGCCAATAGTTGAAAACAACGGCCTGCATGCCGCTTTCAAATGTGTTTTTCTCAATATTTGCCTAATATGTCAGTTTCCTTGTTTGGCAGCTTGTCTGTTTGCCAAAGCTGCTGTCTATACTATTCTCAAGCGCTCGTGAATAGAAAGAGAAAGTGTGTAAAAATGCAGAGAGGGGGAAAACTAAACGCCAGCGAGAACTCAAAATTGAATGATGTTACAAACGGCCAGGCGAATTTTAAAAGAGGCAAATTTTGTTATCCAAACAATTCTTCTCAACATGCAAAATGTACCAGACGAAAAGTAGAAAGAAAGAAAAAAACGGATGAAATAGTTTTAAGCAAATCTGTCGGAATGCGCTTGATGCCAAGATGTAATCTGAAGAGAAGAGAACGCAAACGTCGGCAGCAGCCGCGAAAGAGTGTAAAAGGAATTTTATCAGTTTTAATGTTGAGGAAAAAAATGCCGCACACACACACACACACACACACACACACACATACACACATATGCTCATTATGATGATATTCTGAATTACTATTATATATGAAGATCTTTCATCAATTCACATTTTTAAGTCCCCATAGTAGCGAAAGTTCATTGTTCGAGTTGTTGGATAGTTGATTGCGTTGTTAAATCTCTCAGTTTTATTCGTTGATTGCGTGATTGTTGTCATTTTCAATTTAGAACAACTAAGAAACTAAATTGATTGCAGTGCCATTGTCATTTGGAGGGGATGCGGGCGAGCAAGCAAAGCGATGAAGAGAGAAAAAATGAAAGAGGAATTTAATTCTAAAACTCTTTTAAGGGTTCATTCATTGCTTCAAAAGATGACAATGAAGTAATCTGTGTTTCAGGAAGCCGACTGCCAATGGCGTGCCAACGCTCTATTCATTGGCCGTTTCCGTTATCTGCTTTATTCGCGTTCTCATGGTTCTTTAATATGAGCAATAGATTAGCACATCACACAAGAAAAGGAGGAGCTAATGGATATATATACTGTTTTTAAATCGTCAGTTAGAAGAGTTTCAAATCTTATTTACAACAAGTTAGTCACATTCACTCAGTTTCTATTTCTTATAAAGCATGCTGAACGAATTTTTGAAAAAAAAATTTTTTCATAAAAAAAGAGAGAAAGAGAGAAAGCATTTTGAAGATAAATCTCAAAGGAGTGCCAACTATCTGTTGATTGAGTTATTTTGAAGAGATGAGACACTTTTGATGAGAAAAAAATAACTTTTCGTGTAAAGTTTAACAGAAAAGAAAATTCGTGGAGGCCATTTGTTCCTAATTACTCTCAAGTATTCTATGAATAGTGAATGAGTTTGCAGAAAAAGCCATGAAGTGTCTGAACTTGATAATCTTCTCATTTTGTTTCCTGATTGTAGATGCGGAGGTGAAAGGTATTGAAATATGTTAGCTTACATGTTTACATGGATGTCATTTTAGAAATGTATGAAAACGTTGGTGTGATGCAAAATGAGCATGATCTCGATGTGTTGAATGAAGTTTGTTTATACATTATTCAATGTAAACAGATAACTTTATTACATTGCAGCTGAGTTCGCAACTGGTGACTTCATTGAAAATAGTACAAAACATGAGAGAAGGTAATAATCATTTGAAGATTTTGTTATAGTATTCTAGCCCCTGAAGCGAAAGTGGCCGAGAAACGACGCAACAAGTTTGAATTCATACGATTCGGAAGAAGATAGTAGACTTGATTCGTTTTTACATACTAAAAACCATTTGAACGCTTGTCAAGTTTTCATCTGTGTGTTTTCATACTTTATAAAGTTTCAATCAATAAAACTTATTTTTAGCCGTCAGCCAATTCGATCTCGAATCGGCTCAAACGGAAAATTCCTCTTCAGTAGTATGTAAAGTGCTGCCACTGGCGTACTCTTACCCAAATATGATATTCTGCATTTTTTGCATGAGCAATGTGAATAATCAAAACAAAAAAACGTAGAAACTATAGTATTCACGAGATCGGCTGGTTCAATCATTGAGAATCTCTTCATGTCGAGCTCATTTGCATTGTATATCGATGCAATGTGTTGGAGTCAGATGGAAAGAATTCATATGAATAAAACATATTTATTAGTTAGCCATAGTATAATTAATCATATGATCAATAGCTTCTCTATCTATCCTCTTTCATCAGACAGACGTCTGTCTTCAGAACGCCTGTAAAGGATACAGGCTTGCCAGATTGCTTAGCGAGTAACGTAGCTCTCAACTTAATGTAAAAACACTTATAATATAGATATACAATGAGTTTGTTTACGATGCAACTGAAAAATCCCAGTGGATTGCTGGAAAGGAAGATGGGAGAAGAGAAGGCCACACGCTCGACCCCATTTCTCTCTCATAACCCAACTTACTTCTTGACGAAAGTGAAACTCTCCTTCTGTCACACTCAAAACACGTTGTTGAACAGCTTGATTGACGAGTACCGAGAAACCCCTTCTTACTATGTGAAAAATGTGAATCTGACCGTTTGAAATAATGAAGAGTCAACACGGAAATTCTTGAAAAGCTTTAACGAAGACGAAAAAAAGGAGAAAAGAGAGAAAGAGAGCGAGAGAATTATTGAGAGTGAGCAAGAATTGCTCTTTTCATTAGAATAGGAACTGGAGCTCAAATCATAAATAAAAATCATCAAACCAGATGTCAAATGATCGTTCAAAGTGAAAAACATCCATACACATTCATATATATATATATATATATATATATTCGAATGCATAATTAGCTTAATTCATTAACGAAGAGCATCCATCTCTTATAATCTGCCTCGAGAGCCAATATGAAAATGAATATGAAAACCTGAAAAATGAATGAAATGTGAAGCGGAATGAGGGACCAAACGAAAACTATAATATTTGGAGAAAAGACGAATATTATAGTTTTCAACGTTAAAACCGTTGACTCTTCTTAATCATAAAGTGTTAGGTAAACACTACTAATTGTTCAATGATCTTCATTTTCCTTCGTCTTCGTCTTCTCCCCCCCCTCCCCAACTTTCCAATCTAAACAGATTTTAAACAACTTTCACTACCTGGGTTATTGCTATATAATATTTTCATTCGATAATATGAATCAAAACATATTTTGTCATCACTTGGTCGTCGTCGTTGTTGTACTTGGCCTTCTTCAAGCGTCAGTCATCCCTTCAACAAACATTTTCCAACGGCATTTTGAAGTTGAAAAATATCATTTTGATGACGTGTACGACTTCATGTTAGAAACAAAAGATGCAAATCCGGTTTGAAGACATCATTACACTTCATGGTCGTGCACACCGTCACCATTTTGACGAAATAGCGCATCACTTGTGTTAACCATTGAAATCGATTGAATTCTAACATTGTTGTTCACCGATATTTAAATTCTATTCAAATGTTTCTCTCCAACCTTACACATATTGATTGATTTTTGCTGACTACCAATAGTTTTCTCATTGCAAAGTACTATCATCTCTTTCTATCTGAAGCAAATACATACAGATGTCTGTTTTCTGCATAAGTTGTGGAGGAAATAGCAATGATGATCATAAACGATCGAGGAAAATTGAGATGCAGCTCGAAAAAGACAGAAAGCAGATGAAACGAGAGGTTCTTAGTTACACCTGACTGTCACCAATCATACAAAGACCAAAACACTATTAAGATACGGATTTTACTACTTGGTAGTGGAGAATCTGGCAAAAGTACAATGATCAAGCAAATGCACATTATTCATGGATCGGGCGAGTTCACTGCTGATGAAATAAGAGCTTATCGACAGCAAATATATCAAGTATACCTTTTCATGCTCTATTACTAATCTATTCACTTGAACATCTTAAGAATGTCATATCAGCCATTCGTGTACTATTGGATGCTAGAAGGAAATTGAATATCCCATGGGAAAGTGAACACGATGAACAAAGCATTCAAATAATAAATAAGTAACTCACCTTCTTAACATAACGTCATCCTTCTCCATTGCAGATTTACAGCAGCTGACTTACATCGTGGTCCGGATTCAACAGTTTTCTCGAATCTCTCTCCTGTCTTCGCATCTCTTTGGAATGATAAAGCTATTCGTAAAACTTATGCTCAAAGGAATCTTTTTCAACTGGTAACCATACAAGAAAACCTATACTGACTTACTAATTCACTTCAGAGCGACTCATGCGCTTACTTCTTTGAACATATCAACCGTATATCTCAGCCAGATTTCAACCCAACGAATAAAGATATTCTGTTTTGCCGTAAAGCTACTCGAGGAATATCTGAGCATACATTTTTCATTAATAATGTTCCATTCCGGTATTCAAACACCACTTTCCTCTTATTGACAACGTGATTCAGCTTTATTGATGTTGGAGGTCAAAGATCTCAGCGTCAAAAATGGTTCCAATGTTTTGCTGATATAACCAGTATTCTTTTCCTAGTTGCATCAAATGAATATGATCAGGTGAGGGCTAAAACAACTTTTCGTTTCATATACATGCTAAATATAGGTTGTAATAGAAGATAGGAAAACAAACAGAGTTGTTGAATCCCGATCAGTTTTTGAGACCATCGTCAATAATAAAGCCTTTTCAAATGTATCCATTATACTCTTTATGAACAAAAGTGATTTACTCAAAGGTATGTTTCGTTTTATAACTCTTCTTGTTGCTTTATGATACTCTAAAACATGATTTTTATTCAGAAAAACATCAAACCTCCGATATTCGCCAATACTTTTCCGATTTTCAAGGTGATCACATGTCATTACGTGATGTTCAATACTTCCTTGTGGATAAGTTTGAAAGTTCACGCAAAGATCGTGCTCGACCCTTCTTTTATCACTTCACAACAGCCGTTGACACAGAAAACATTCGACGTGTATTCAAAGACGTCAGAGAAACAATTTTAGAGCAAAATTTGCAATCATTAATGATGCATTAGTTACTTCTATTGTTATTTTTCTTGACTTTTGCTCCCAATTTCTTCAATTGACAAATTCACTTGTTCATTTCTCATGGTTGTAAAATATTTTTGTTCCGTAGACTTCTAATTATAATACAAACTTTATGTTCCAATCGATTTCATCATGTGCTTCTTAATGTTTTTCACATTTTCTAATTGAAGTCTCGAGATGATGATTGTCCGTGACGAAGTATTATTTCCTGAAATTAATTACTTTTTTCTACAAATGCATCAGCACGAACATTCAATTGTCCTCTTTCGGAGCTCTCACGATAATCTATGTAGGGGCGATTGGAAGAAAATGTTTTTTGACTGAAATATAATACGAAATACTTCTCAAGTACTATATACGGCAAAAGCTTACCGGTATGACTGTACTATTGGTGGAGATCTACTTTTTGCCTTCAAATTGGTGACATACTCATTTTCAGGTCTTTCTATTCTTTCTGGACGTTCTGCTCGGTTTAAATCCTTATTGATTGCCTGAGTGTGGACTAAACCTCCTCTATAGTTGTCCCAATTGAGTTGTGAAAATGGCCGGGGGTCCGTAACGAGTACTGAACAGATATATTGTCACGTAATACCCACTAATAAATCAAACATGTGCGTGATGGACAATTACAATAATTGGCATCTTCACCAGGTTGACCATCACTTCCAGGTCTTCCAATCATTCCCGGATGACCTCGATCTCCAGGTTTTCCAGGAGCTCCAACCTCACCAATCAAACCTGAATATGATTTATGCACTCGAAAAAGATTTATGTGTTCACCGCTGAAACCATCCGATCCGTTTTCTCCAGTATCTCCTCGGCTTCCAGGAGCCCCTTGGGGACCAGGTAGCCCTTTCAAGCCAGGAACACCTACTAGACGAACAGCATCTTGGCCATTAGGTCCTTTATTACCCTAAGAATCGACAAATTATGAGAAAAAATATGAGAGTTAGGTATGCCTTTTCTCCTGGATAACCAAACAGTCCCGGGAATCCTTTCTCTCCTTTACTTCCCTTCACGAAATTTCCCTTCTCACCTGGAAATCCTGGTCTTCCAGGTTTTCCGGTGGCACCTTTCTCTCCTGGGAATCCGATACGACCCCTTTCACCTTGGGGGCATGGCGGACAATCGAAGCCTTCAACAAGGTCAAAACCATTTAACCCAGGCTCCCCAGATAATCCAGGACGGCCATCTTCAGCATAATATCCAGCAGGCCCAGTGCTACCTCGTGGTCCCTTAGGACATTGAATAACGGAGCAGTCTGATTAACAATTCTATTTTCAGTTCGGATTGTCGCATAAATTACCGCATATAGTTACAGCACCTCTTCTATGGAATGGAGCAACGTTGTAAAAACCTCTTTTCTGTCGTTGCGACGGTTGCTTCATGAGTTCGATGAATGGTTCCTGTTTCCAATAAGAAAAAGAGGCAATAAATATTCAACTAACCGATATAGAGAGAAATTCAGTCTCAACTTGTTGATTCCATTCTTCCAGTTCACTATGGAGATCTATATGCAAATAGATGATAGTTGCCGTAGATATTATAGAGAGTATTGATGCAGTCCGGTAGAGTGTTTCCATCGAAGCCTCCTTCTTGGAAACCATCTCGAAGAATGAAGAAAATGAGAAAACCTATACTTTATAAAATGGCAGTCGTCAAGAGATACTCAAAAGTCAAGTAATAAGGCACTAGACCTTCTGCATTCACCACCACTCTAAAAGGAAACTAGTTTGTGAAGGTTCAATTAGGGTGAAATCCTTTGAATGCTTAGAAACTGCTCGAGATTTTTTTGTTTCCAAACTTGTTTTAAAGCTATTCAACACAAAATTCATTACAATAGAATTATAACAATGTCATGAAATGATGGCAGACAGTAGTCAAGGAAAGAATGAGAAGTCAAAAAGTCTCAGCTACATCGTTATTCTACATAGTAGAGTTCCAAATTTATGCTTTGGTTTCATCAATGAACAAATCATGATTGAATCCAGCAACATCTAGAACATTATATGAATAAGATGTACTTACAAACACATAAGACTTACCATAACACTAATATGAGAATCAGTCATCATTCTCTTCAGCTTCATCATATGGCTCTGGCTTGTATTTGGACCAACCTCGAACTGCAATACACACAAGCGTATTTCTTTCAATTATTTAATTTTTCAATAAAATTAAAGAAGTATTCAAGACTAATTGCTATTTTATTTTTCATTCAGAAAAACGGAGCGTAAATTGAAAAAAAAACAAAAAAAAGGGGAATGAAAAGGTTCACCGGTCAGAAATGTGAAGAACAGAAGGACTGAAAAGAAAGCTTTTTGCTTTTCGTTTACAACTAACTATACGATCTAATGGATAATCCAAAAATGTTTTTTTTTCTTGTTCAAGTTTAACAAAAATTTATTGCATATTACATATGAAAAAATTTGATTTTGAAGGCTGGAATGTTTGTCAAATGATGTGTGGACATGCTGTAGATCAGAATACAACAGCTTAAATGGTTATTAATTATATTCCCAAAAGAAGAGCTGTTTCTGTATCTTGAAATTATTAAAGAAAGATATAATGATCAGTTATTTTATGTTGTTTAGCTGGAGATGCATGTCTTACCCTTTGCTCCTATGCTGTGCTGACGTTCCAGAGTGTCACTACGCTTAGAATTGATAACAGATGTATGATCAACAGTGCTTTCATGAGGTAACAACTGCATTGGAGAACGGAATGAGTAGAAAGATGGGTAATGATACAGATTGTAGCAAGACGATGCGTAGATATCCGCATATCTAAACAATATTTGGATTGAAGAAGATCCTAGCTGAAAATATGTTATAAGAGCAACAAACCTTTCAACTTGGGAAGCAAAGAAGGTCTTTCTTGGTCCTGATCGGAAGAGTGATCCGAGAACACTGTACTCTTCATCCATCTGATTTGTCAATGTCTTAAAAAAGAATTATCTCAATGAACAATTGAAATAAGAAGTGAAATATGTCTTTGATTATACTTCTATTAGAACATACTCTGAGCTTAAGTATAATGTCCCCAATATCAGGCTTCTTAGTAGTGCAAGCATCTAGCTGCTTGTATATCGAGGAAAGTTCTTTTTCGGTTTGATCTAAAGCTTCGAAAAGTGGTCGACGATCTGTCCAAACAGTAAGCTCATGTTCCAACTCAGGAATGATTAAGAAAGTGCGCCATCCTCTGGCTTTTTTCGACCTTTTAACACTTCGATTAAAGGTCATACAAACAAAAATACCGTAATACGTCTCCAAAGATATGGTCTCCAACGTACAACACATCTTTACCACGTGCGTTGAGAAGTTTGTGGAATGCATCGCTGTTTCCTACAAGTTTAAACTCAAATATCATGTTTGAACTTTCCAATACAAACCTCCAGAGTAGACAACTCCTTCTTTCAAAGTAGTGTTGTGGAGACCCAGTTTGTGCGAACCGGTTTCTGTGTTAACCTGTAAAAGGTAAAACTCATTTAGTTACTTTACCGGAATGCAATTACTTCACGGAAAACAGTTCCATTCGAGAACCATTTAGGTTTGCACGCGTCCACAACAATCAAATTGAAGGAGTTTCTCCAATTTTCGCCCAAAAGGAATGTCATCATCACCTGAACATCTTTTGAACTCTTTTCATGCAACTTGTGTCTTACATTTGTGTATTTCCAATCACTGTTTGTTAAAAGGAATGTCTGCTTATCATGTTGACGCAGTTGTTGGAACATTGGGCCAGCTCGAGGATCCTTCTCGACATACTTGGCAGGGTCGTTCATTATCATCTCTTTCATGTTACTCTGTGTAAATAATATTGTTCATCATAAATTTTACTAGTCCACACCTCAATATGTACCCAGTCAATAGCCTTGCGACAATCTTGGAAGATAGAACGGTAGTAAAGTACTACGTCTCCTCCACAGAGTCCAGACTTATCTTCAAGCCTTAAACATGTACTCTATTCGTGCGTTCTATTCTTTCATCTTACATCTCATAATCAGGATGAGTATCAAAGTACTCAATGAGTTGAGCAATCAAATGAGTCTCGGGAAGGTTGAAGAGTGTATTCAACACATAAATGCGACTTTCGGATAATTGCAAGTACTTGTTAGGGTACTGGCTCTCAATTTCAGCACTACAAACCAAACACTTCTGATAACTTGTACATTCTTGATTTTATTGAACTCACGCTGATAGAAATTGTTGCCCGTGCATTCCAATGAGAATATTTCCGAACCCATCTACTTTCAATAGATTTCCGAATTGATAATCGAACCATAATCCACGAACAGGAAAGATGGGATTATATTCGAACTTTTTAATTTCGGGAGGATAACCCATTTTAATGAGAAAATCAACGGCTAAAGTGAAAACTAACTCCTCTAGTACAGGTGATTTATATTCTGAAAACAATCAGATTACTATCCATCTATTCATGAATAACCCACGAATAAGAGTGTAATCCATGTCGAAACCAAAAAACTTGAGTTTCTCTAATCGAAGACTACGATTAACAAAAATTCTTAAAATATATTTGAAAAACTCGAAAAATCTGAATAATCTGACCTTTCCGCGGGTTCGCGCTTATAATCAGTTGACCGAACAGTAGACATGTTCTGTAATAACAGATAGTTATTTTAAATCAAATAATCTAACTGATAAAGAGATGAAAGAGACGAAAAAAAAAAGTTTATAACGATAATATATGATAAGTAAGAGGCTTTGCAGAAGAAACACTATCTTCTACTATCACTCATCTCCCGAAACAAAAAAAAAAAGATTTTTTTCGTTTCTTCTGAACTTTCAGCATATTTTCCTAGAAAGGATGAGTATTGCAAAGTAGGATACATACGAAAGTGAGTCAGAGGATCGTAAGAGAGAGAGTCATAGCCCATTTGACTCGAAACGATGACACACTCTGCTGATCATTTCTGAGTTGGAAGATGAGCATTGGAACGATCTCTTTCAGTTTTTGAAACAAATTAACAAGAAGCTGAAACACAAATCTATTTGAAATGTGTATGTGTGAGTGTATGTTTGAATGACTGAATAGGATGGAAACGAAATGAACAGAGAGAGAGAGAGAAAGAAAGAAAAAGTAGATTAAATGAAAAATGTTTCAACAGCAAAGAGGACATTAAATACAACGATATCTTGCAAATGTCACTTTTTTCTTCCACACATTAGAGCATTTCGATAACATTTAATTGCAAATTAATTGCCTTAGTGTGTTCAAACAGTTCATTTTTATCAGAAACACGTTATCATTCGTATCCCCTGTTCAATTAAATGACAATCAAGTATCTCCATATCGGATGTCAAAAGGAAGCAAAGCCAACCGAAAAAGTACAATATTTAACAAAAAAAAAAAAAGGAAAAAGGAAGGAATGAATCGCTCTCATCTCCACACAGCTGCGACACGAAAAAAAACTTTTTGTTCAGCAACATTCGTAAATGCTGTTTCAATAGGATCAATTTTAGGAAACATCAAACATAGACACATCGGAAATGATCACAGGAAAGCCTTTTTCCGTTTCAATAACTTACACACACCCATGACCATGTAATGTTATTTCAAAAATATTCAATGAAGTACCAATTGAATTATATATATATAGTATAGTACATAGTATATATATACTATATATGTATGAAGAGAATATTTTGGTTATTCAAATTGAAAAAGGTAAGAGGTGATGATGAATGCGCAAAACGTTTTTTTCATCTCAATCTGGAGAGAATGAGAACAAAGAAAATGATAACACAAAGGATAATTATACTTTTAATCCCATTATCTTTGAATGCAAAAAGTATGAAGAAGGAAGGAAAGAAGAAAAGATGAATAGATGGATGGTTCAAGATTCTAATCTTCAATGATTAGAAAAAAGAGAGGTTCGAATAGAAAAAAAAGAGGAAAACGAAGAAATGGTTCTATGCAATAGAGATTAAAATATATATTTAATAATCAGATGAACCTTTGATTGATAACATATAACATTTGAAAATAAATATTCTTCTTATAATCAAGAGCATTCTATTGTTCAAGTTTAACAGATACATAGATCAGAGACAATAAGATGATTTGAAAAATAGATATTCAATGAATAATCAGCATAAATTATATATTTATATTAATGAACAATGATAATCATATCTCTATTGTCTTATTAGTCTGATAAACAAAGTTGGCGTCATTTGTGCATTTATTTGAATTTCTATTGTTTATTTTGGTATATTAGTGCATTTGAGCGTGAGGTCACAAGCTAATCGATATGCGCCGAATATTTGCTAAGAAAAGTTTTTATGATATGTGACCTCTCAATGAATCATGAGATGAGTATTAACAAATCCTTATTGATATTCCCTTTTTTTCCATTTTCTTCTCGTCTTTTCTTATTTTTCACACTTTCCTATCTCACATGTCCCACTGTTTGTAGTTTAAGCTTTCAACGCCACTTAAGGAGTAGAAGGGGGGGGATGAATATATTGATTATCATTTCATCATCACGTTGTAATTTTCTGAGGGTTTTTGTAGATGGCAAAGATAAGAATGAAACGATTTTCGTTTTATAAAAAGATATGTTCGCTTCGTTTACTTTCTTTTTTAATTCTCAAAATATTTCATTAAATTCTTTATTTCGCATCTTTATTTGTTTAATGAATTCAAATTAAACTTCAAATCATTGGTTCAATGACATTCAGAAGCTTTTCATTATTATTGATTAGGATATTCAGCTTATTGCTCTTCTTATATTCTATTTTATCTTTTTTTTCTGAAAGAAATATATTTCATTGAAGGAATATCAGTATATGATGAAGCTTTCTAAACAATCATGGTACTATTGGATTATGGCTCTTCTATTCATAGCACAGGTATTATATATACTATATCATATAATATATTCTTATATACTATATATAGGTTGCATTATCAATTCAATATCATACTCTATTATGTAATATGTTAACTGCTAATACATTATTGTTATTAATAATAACAGTTCATCATGGTTATAACATCAGTGAAGATGCTAAAAAGCTATTCTGCAGGTTTGCATATTCAATACATGATACATCATTATTATTATATTATATTCTATAGAATATGTGGTTGTGTTGCATTCATAGCAGTCCTGTTTGTTAATTGTACGCATGCTTTGGAAGTTATAAGTGATATTGGACCTGCTGCTGGTAATCATTCACATTCTCATTCACATGGACCTGATGAGGACGAGGAAGTTGAAAACTATTCATTTGTCTCAGGTATTATATATTTTCTTTACCATAAATTATATTCATTTGTATAGATTACTATGCTATCATTGCTGTATGTGATATTCTCATCAAGTGTATGGTTCTTGTACTTGAATTTGTACCAGATATGGGTTTAAACATAGGAGTTCGATTCTTGTTCCATACTATCACTCCGGTAGTAGTTTTAAGTAATCTAAACATAACTATATGATATAATATAATAATTAATTCAGCATTCTATGTAATGGGTATGACTATCTCTGAAGATATGGCTTCTTCTTTCTTATGGAAATTTGCTGATCCAGCAGCAACACTTATCTTAACTGCTTGTTTAATAATATTGATTTTACCAAGTTGTAAGTTAATCAGAAAATATATGAAATACTCATTTGAATCATATTATAGTCAAAGAGATGATGCCATACATTTTTGTGGGCGCACCTAGTGGTTTTGATGAGGATAAGTTTAAAGTCTCCATTATGAATGAGGTTTAGTATGATTAACAGTATTATTCAAAGTTTTTCTTGTTTTAGTTCCCTCATATCGCTTTCACTCATATCCACGTATATCGTTTGTGGCCAGGAACACAGTTCAAAGCTCAACTTCACTTGAACATTAAAGTAAATCAAACAAATTTGAATTTTCCATTTCTATGTGAGTTTTAGGTTGAAAAAAGCACTCAAGATTGGCCCTTAAAAGCTGAAAAGGAATTCAATAAAATTCGCGAGCGAATTCAAAAAAAACTCGAAGAGAAAGGAGCTAAGAAAGTGAGACTGAAATGACGGACTCATAATAAAAAAAAAAATTTTATTTAAGGTTTTCATTGAGCCACGCTTTGTGGAAGAGCATGATGAGAACAAATGGGTTGGTTGTGTAGCAGAAAATTGTCATAAAACGGAAAAAGGCTGCTGTGATAGAGAAGAAGCTACAGTATGAATATAGTGATGTTTAAAACATTCCATACATTTCCCTACTTATACATTTCCATGTCCTTGTTTAGAAGCTTCTCTATACACATGCATCTGATATATATATTTGAGAAAATATGATTTATGATACAAAGAAACTGATACTTACCATTCACAATCTAAGTCGTTTAAGATATGCTACTGTTGTCGTTTGAATGAGAACAAACCTTTTTTGGTAGCACTCAATTGCTGGTTTTCTATACTGCTCTCTTCTTTTTATTTGATTGATTGTATTAAATTACATTTAAAACGGATAAAATATCGCTTGATTCAATTTCGTAAGAGAAGAAGATGAAGAAGAAAGAAGAATGAAGATGAAGCTGAGTGAGAGGAATTAGGGACTATAAGTTCAAAATGTGAACATAAATAGAGGAGAATGAGTTCTTTTCTCACGCATCATTCACAACATGCCATTAAGTGATGAAGACGTAAACGAGACTGTGCTTGAAGTAAGTAAGTAATAGTGCCATTTGTAATAGAATATCATGCAACCATTATCTCTTTCAGTGAACTTGAACGAAAACTTCATTTCTGTTATTTTTGGTTCGAGTTCGTTTCAATTATTATCCGAGCTTCGACAGGAAATCTACTTTTTGATTCAGATTCTGCTCGTCAAGTGCAGTTGAAACAAAAATGAGTGAAGTGACCTCTTATTCTGATAACTTACAAGAGCTGGCTGTCTCTGATTCCACTGAAGGTCTTTTCAGTTACAGTCATTTATATGCTTTTATATTCATATTTAGAACCGATAACATCTGAAGAGCCATCGTTACCTTTGAAATTGAAATCTCAAGCGAGGCGACGTAAGACAAGAGTTCTTTTCTCCGAAAAACAGGTTTTGTTATTTATTTCTTATCAATTTGTATTATTTTGTCTTCAATAACATAATATTTGATAGATCAGCCGATTAGAGGCTCTTTTTCAACGACAGCAGTATGTGTCAGCATTAGAGAGACATAACCTTTCGCAGGAACTTGATATGACCTCTAATCAAGTATAATTTCACTATATGATGTAATACTATATTTGATCTACTGTAGATCAAAATTTGGTTCCAAAACAGGCGTTATAAGAATAAGCGATTGGCACAAGATTGTTCATTGAAATTGAGTCAACTATCATATGAGCCGGTGAGAATATTTTGAAACTTTTTTTTTAAAAACAATTTTTTGAATATTTAGATACTTAACTCAATTATTCCTCTTGGAATGAATGTATTTGATAATTGGCTGAATTAGTGGAGACATAATATTCAAATATAATTTAAATGTGATGTATATTGATGTCCAATTAATATTGTAATCGATTATCTTATTATAATAACAACTCTATTAGTCGCATCACATGGCTGTCAATAGTTAAATCCAAATACTAAATATGATCATCATTAGCAGATATAAAATGAGAATGTTAGTAGGATGGCTATTGCAAATTCTAGAACAATAACGATTGCAAGCATTGAAAAATTTGAAATTTTAAGGAATAGTATTAGTTTGGCGACATATCCAAGAAGTTGCTTCGAGACACGGATCAATAGACGAATACGTGACTTTGAACAGATTGTTACGGTGAACAATAGGAATAGTGCAAAGTAGACAATGCAACAGACAAAACTCAAAAGAATGGTGAACTGAAGAAAACAGAAGTTTCTTAGAAGGATCACGTACGATGTAGCGAAACGTATTATTTCACATACAGCACTCATATCCAGAGTTCAGTTGTTGATGTCTATAAAGAGGTATCTGATTAATAATCTTGTGCTTATACAGTTATATACAGTCGCATATGTTTTTATTTTCATAACTTTCTTATTTAAAAACTTTTATGTATTTCAGCTTTTTTGTTTTGAATAGCTGCGAACAGTCATTACAGTATCCTCGGTATTGCTCACTAGAATTACTCATTGGGCAACTCCATTCTGCATTGAGGGAGTCACACAGTAGATACACAAACTTCAGAAGAATATCATAAGGTTTTCCATTTAACAATTATTATTTCTATTTTTATCCAACGTCATTAGTATAACTATATCTCTTATCTCATCTCATTCATTTCCTTTTATTCATTAACTATTACGTTTCTATCTGTCTGTCTACTTCATTAGAGTTAACGACTTCAAATTCATTCGCACAATTTATTCAAATAATGCTACTTAATGATCTTTCGTTCCAAGTATCATTGGAATTCAACTATTTCGATTTGCATTATTCCTCATTCACTAGTTAGCGTTCGCCTCTCCTCCTTCGCTCCTTTCTCTCTCTTTCATGCTCTCTCTTTTATTCTCTCCAAGTCGTCATGAAATTAAGAAATTGTCATGACAATTGTCATTTACTTGAGTAATTCACAATCATTATTGATTTATCTTATATTTATAATGATATAATTAAAACTTACAGAAATCTTTGAGAATATCTTCCTAATCTCTGACTAGATGTAAAGACGACAATCAAACTTTCATGTTTCCGTTTAGTAAGATGAAGAAGAACAAATAAGTTCGTTTCTCAATCTGACCTCTAGCTCAATTACCAGCCGAGTAAAAGCTGCCAATATCAATTGAATATTCTTCGTCACTTTTGACATTTACAATTTTCATCAGTTATGAACAAATCAGAAAGCGCAAAAAGAAAGTTGAACACAATTGGTCTAGACATTCTACATTTGTCTAAACCTGAATTCGATCGCGGTCTGCCTACGCACATGTCAATGATTGCATTATTATACTTGGAATCTATTACTTTCTCTCTATCTGTTTCTCTCTGTTTATGCTCTATACAAGATGTCTGTCTATACATATATCCACTTGTAGTTTGTTCGTTCTTGTAGTACTGAGTAATCCTAATAAGAACACAAGTATACCAAACCTTCTAATAGGTCTAGTCTACAGCATTCAGTGGGATATCTCTCTCATCTCCCAATTCTCATTGAATTGATTCTAATCATTCCTATACCACATATATTATACCAATTTTAATATAATTTCTACCTTCCATCAATTTTCTACTCTCAATTATACATCCTTATCATACAATATTGAAGTCGTTAGCTTCATTCTCATCTCCATTATTCACTTTCTTACATTATAATTTCCGGATAGACTACAATATCTATTATATTCATCTCTAATATATATTATAAACAGACATTTACCCTCTCCAACCCCCTTTCATCACCATTTTTCATTCTTTCATCTTATCCCCTATCTTCTTTCTAACAAACTGCATTGTTAAGCTTATCTTTGGTCTTTATTATCCTAATCTATTCTTCATAAAAACATTTTCTTTTTTTGACACGAAAATCGCTCTCATTTTGCTAACTATACGACTGGCAGCTTTCTTTCTCACCAGTCTTATCTTAAGAAGTACATTGTGAGTGAGAATAAGCCAGACTAATTAACATAAAAATTCAATTCACCCAACTCTCTAGACCTCATATAACAACTACTAAGACGTCAGAAAGGGGAAGGGGGGTGGGAGATATGCTAAACCGTCTTTATGGCTCTAAAGCTATTTCATTTAACAATTCCTACTTGTAAGAGAGAGATTATTCCTTTCAATTGTTAATCTGCCTTTCATTCTCTCTATTCTTAAGACTTTTTATAGCTCATTCTTCATCAGCTGGCACTACTTGACTTGATTATTCCACAGTATATCTTATTCTACAAAATGATTTCCTTTATATTCTAAAAACGACTCTTTGAGATATTTAAATACCATGATGCCATTTCATATAATGGCTTCTGACAGATAATCTGTTCAACGACTTATACATCATAATCCCCTCATCTTATTCACTCTATTTAATTGTCTTCTTGAAGTTTTCATTATCGAAATCAAATCTCTCAGATTTCATCTCATTTATGGCTCATTTGGTATTATATAGCTTCTTCATTTCCCTTGAAGATATGGCTTTCTCCATTTCAACCATAATACTAGAGCTTCTTCTCATTTTATCTTCTTTAGATTATGAAAATCAATCAAAAGCAATTCTGATTACGCTAATCTCCTGAAAAAAAGTTTTTTTTTCTAATTTTATTGAATTGATAAAACAATCTTTCAATAAACCCTGTTAATGAGGAGATAATACTACACTCAAGCCTATCTCATGATAATTGGACCAATTCTGCAGCCTTTGGCGGCCAATGCGCCATTATCGATTAAGCCTCACATGGTGACCTATAGCGAAATAATCTTGCTTACGGTAGTATGCCATTCACACGGGCGGTGCATAACAACCGCTAACGCGCCTTTCTCGCGTTGACTAGAGCGTTTCTTTTTTTTCTCCCGCGATTTTCATCTGTTAAATAGCCTGTGTCAGATTATAATAAATTGCTTATAGGTTTCAACATGGGTGACTACGATTCTGATGAGTCTATCGATCCGAAAATCTGTGAAGAGCTGGATAATGAAGAGGAACATTTCAGCGGCTTGTTTCCTGATCCATTAGAGGATGTAACATTTAAGCTAAAAGCTTTATTCTTCAGCCGTGAAAACATTTCAAGACTCGTAAGCTTTGATATCATATCAATCTAAAATCATTTTGTATTTCCAGTACAAACCAATGCTTTTATTTGAAAATGCTACTGGAGAAACCTATGTAAGACTCATTCAATTCTTCTGTCATTTCTATCCGATTCCTTTTAAAGATTACTCTGTTCGTTTTTATGGACAAACGTTTCCGCGAACAATTCGCTGAGCTTTATGAGACTAAGCTTTATAAGAAATATCTCCGAAATCAATACTTGACTAAGTCACCACCGCTTCATAAGCTTATAATTAACTTGCATCCTGAAGAAGTAGGTCGATTATTTATTGCTTAGCTTACACCTATGATTAAGCTGCCCAAGCTGAAGGGTCATATTAAAAAATATCTCATTCTCGCTCATGAGCATCAATGTCTTGGAGCCAGAGATGGGATTAGAGACGAAGGTCTAAATGGAGCCATTACACGTACCAAAGAAGAACGTGAAAAACGACGGGAGAGACGCAAAAAAGTGCGATTGGAACGACGTATGAACCGAAAGCGTAGACATGACTCGACAGTAAAGGTAGCTGACAAACCTTTCAACTTTTGGAGAGAAAGCAGAAGGCTGAATAAATTTGAATTCGCAACATACTTCCCTCAATACGACACCGACGAATGCGAAAATGATTAATTATTTATTTATAAAATCTCTTTTTTATTCTCTCCCTCTGTTGAAAGTCTCCTAAACTTTTTTTTTTGCTGCTGCTGCTGCATTTCTCATTCGTTTCTATCTCCATGGAAAAATGCTTCATCTTCTCCTTTTTTCTATCCCCTCACTATGGTTTTCCTCCTTTTTATACCCCCTAATATAACATGTGGCTTCATATGTGAATAAATATTATTTCAAAGAATATTATATACTAAAAATTTTTTTTCATATATATATGGGCTTGACGACCGTCAAATGGTCATTAGAAAACGCATTTATGCCATTTATAACTCAATTTTTTTTCTCAAATATGTCAGTGAGAATAACACTTTGTCATAAGAGAGTGAGCGCAGCAGCTCATATGCACGCAACTTCACTAATTGTCGCAACAATTGGGCATAAAAGTTTTGGGCAACATGCAGTCGAGGCCTCATATTGCGCATATTCAATAGAATATTTGATATAAATATTTCTCGTTAACACATATAATATGGTTAGTAATATGAGGTTAAACATCACTATATACGTAATGATACATATATAGTTTGTATGTTTGTAGTATGTTGTTGTTTGTTTGTTATTGTTTATTATTATATATATATTTCTTTCTCTCTTTCTCTAATTCTATCTCTTTTTATATTTATAAGTATCGATTGTATGTCATATGGGGCGAGGTTAAACTTCAAAACCTGCTATAATGTGAATGGTGTAGAGAAAAACTGAAAACAAGAATACTGGGCGCACTAGGCGGGTTGTTTATTGAGTGCAGTGTTTGAGAAGAGGGCTTGCTGTTCTAGGATTAAACATGTTGTGGTTCAAAAATACTCTTCATTCCCCTCCTAACATTTACTAATCAATTTCTTCATTTCATATTACACATTCAGCATTCTCATTCCCTCTTTGTGAACCATTTTTCTATTTTATGTTTGTTCTCTCTTTTTTTCTTTTTTTTTTACACTTCTTATGTTAAACTTAAGACAGAATTGATTTTTTTTTTCTTCTGCTGAATGGCTGCATAACATCATGTCGTTTGTTTGCTTTGGGCTATAGTTTATTTGTAGTAAGTGATGCTTTGGGTGAGAATTTTATAAACGAAAGTTGTATATATATATATATATATTTATATTTTCTTTTTTTCTCTTTTCTGTTTTTTTTGGGCCAAAGTTTTTGTCCATTTCATTTTTAGTCATACAAATCAATAGTTCTCATTTTATATTCGTCTTACTTGTTGGGCTTTGTTATATTTATAACGTACGTGGTTTTTAGAAACGATCATTGCCGTTAAGTTTTCTTGTTTTCGCTTCGTGTCGCAATCAATATATTTTTTTATGTTTTCAATATTTTTATATTTTAAAGTTGTCCCCTGTTCGTCGGAAGAATAGTTTTATTATATATATGGACTGCCAATGATAAATAAGTAAGTTGCTATATTTCATTCTTCTTTATATATACCTAACTATACCTAACTATATATGTATATGTATATATACACATATTGCATATCCATATGTAGCCCATTCAAATTATGAAAAAAACATTTTCATTATGCTGTTAGAGTTTTCTATTTATGTGCATACATAATTGAACTATAAAAAAGTCAAATTTCATTGACAAAACCATTTGGTAGAACCCCCCCCCCTCCATGCCTTCCCACACACATACACACACTCGTTTCTTTACCCAATCACACAAATTATTTATTTGAAATTGCTTTGTGCAATAGGCTATAAAATTTAATTATAGCTCTAGACTATTCATTGCAATTGTTTTTTGTTCATCTTCTTATTTAATTCCTTAAATTTCATCATTTTAGCTATCTAAACGATTTTCGAGTTGAAGCTTGTGCTTTGTTCAAACAACACCAGTGTCAACAGCATAGACCATACACTTGCTTTAATTGGCATTTTGCCAATCAGCGTAGGCGAAGGTAATACATATTGATTGAAAAATGGTCAACATATAAAACAATACTGTACTTTCTTTATTAAGACCGATAAAGAAATCAGATGGCTCATTCAATTACTCGCCTGATATTTACTGCGACAAGTATGATGAAAATACTGGAATTTGCCCTGATGGAGATGAGTAAGCGATAATAAATATATTATTATGATAGAATTCGAAGAAAACAAAATAAGACAAATAATATTTTCTATTTCTCATTAAGATGCTTGTATTTGCACCGAGTCTCTGGAGATGTAGAACGAAAATATCATTTACGTTATTATAAGACAGCACAATGTGTTCATCCAACTGATTCAAAGGGTCATTGTATGAAGGTAATTTTATAATCATTCATCATAACCATAAATGGAAGGAGATGCATAAGATCCTGTAAGCATTGTGGCTAATTCTATTTCGATGTTGATCAAGTGACTTTTAGAGGAAAAACATTTATTTTTTCTATTTCAAGAATGCATTCAAGTATATTCATTTAGAATGGCGCACATTGTGCTTTCGCCCACAATAACAGCGACTTACGTCAACCAGTGGTAAAATATAATCATGATACATCAACTATGCGTTATCCATTAAAGTTCGATCAAACACATGAGCCAGCATATTCGTCAAACATGGAGAATGATGCTAAGGATCGTACAAGTTTTGTTATAGAAGATCAGGCTTGGCATAGTATGTTATAGAAGAGGAAGATGAGCTTTACTGCTTAATTGTTTAGGCCAAGATCATGTTCTATCATGTTATAAAACTGAACAATGTAGAAAGCCTGCTCGTTTATGCAGACAAGGCTATGCTTGCCCCTTTTATCACAATTCTAAAGATCGCCGTAGACCTCCAGCTCTTTACAAATATAGGTTTGCATTATTCAACTGTAGCTTCTGTTATGGTCTCATACTTCCTTCAGATCTACACCATGCCCAGCAGCCAAGACTGTAGATGAATGGCTAGACCCTGAATTATGTGAAGCTGGTGATGGATGCCAATACTGCCATACTCGTACTGAGCAGCAGTTTCATCCTGAAATCTATAAAAGTACCAAGTGCAATGATATGCTTGAGGTAACGAACAGCCACTTATAAATGGATTATGATGAAACAACATAAAAGCCAGTGTGACAAGCCATATTTCTAATTTCAGCATGGATACTGTCCGAGAGCAGTTTTCTGCGCTTTTGCTCATCATGATTCCGAGTTACATATTACAAGAACTCCTTATGTTCTTTCTAATAGTCCCAAAGAGCCGTCGAGTCCGACGACCACTAGCAAATGTGCAGGTATAGCAATGAAAACATTCGGATGTTTTCATGATGACTAAAATTCCAGATAGTTCTTCTTCTATGGACACATCGTCTACTCACTGCACCATACCGTCATATTCTGTGAGTTTCTATTCTTTCTTATACGAAATTACTTTACTTTCATATAGGCTGTTCTGAAACAAAAATCTGTTGCTCATACACAGATGAATCAGATCCACCAGCAGAATCAATCAACTCTATCAACTACTTCACCCAAGCAAATACAACAGCAACAATTTGCTCAACAATCACAACAACATCTTCATCAGCAACAACAACAACAACAACAGCAACAACAACAACAACAACAACAACAACAACAACAACAGCCTTTGAATATTAATAAGACGCAGCTTCCATCACATTTCCAACAACAACAAGCGTCACAGGCACAACAAATTATTCCAATGCAGTCAACAATGTCTAATATGGCAATGGAGAATCAGTATGCAAAAGCACCAGGATTCGAGAGATGTGGACCACTTTCGGTGACAAAAAAGAAAGATTGTGATTTAATGTCTTCATATTTCAGCCTTCACAGGATAATAGTGATTTAGGCAGAAATAGAACTCAATCATTAAACATTGGACCTATGGATATTAAAGCCAAGAAGGAATACATTGGTATGCTCGAATTGTTTTAACTTTTATTCAGTAATTTAGGATCCTCATCTGGCTTAGACACTATTGGTACTTCTCTTCCAACCTATTCTTCATTTCCCAAAAATGAGAATTTATCTCGAAAGCAAGGTAGGATACAAACTAGTTTTTATTAAAAAAGGAGATTAACCATACAATCTGTTCAGATACCAACAATCTATCTAATACTTTGGAAGAGCTCAGCTTAGACTTAGCTCAAATAAACCAGCACAACAGCCAATCGATTACGGAACTCTTTAGTGGAAGTGAGCGTATCCTTCGAAATTAAACTTGAAATATTTACTCTTTCAGTTCCATGCTCTGTACCCTTTGCTGGCAATGATTCATTTCATACATCTCCAATCACTAACTTCTCAGACACCTTGTTCTCAAATAATAAGTCAAACTCTCCTTCCAGTATGTTCGGCTTTGAAAACCAGGTAAAACATAGAGTCACTGTGAGAAAAGAAGACAATAATGTAGAGGCGCTAGTAGTATAGATTCTCATATAAAAACGTTTAAGGTAGCTATATGGGAAGAAGGATTGAAACAAGCTCGACAAGCATGCGAAGCTTGGAGAAGTGAAGCTCAACATTATAAAACAAAAGCTGAACATATTGAAATGGAACGAAACAGAGCATGTTTTGAGAGAGATCAAGTAAGTATTGATAATAAGATCCATTGAACAGTATAATCTTTCAGCTCGCTCAGCAGCTTGAGAGTCTCAAGCTGCACTTGACAAGTTTTAGCAATTTGGGATTACCTGTCTCACAACTATCATCCGGTCAAAATCCGAACAATGTGTTGAATACACAGAATGATTTTGGAGAAGGAGTGATCAGAGCATCAAACATTCATATGTCCAATCCTCAGCAATCATTCTCCATGTTTTCGGTAAGTTCTTTACAGAATTTTTATTCTATCACATATCGTTTGTGCATTTACTTACATAACTATTTGAGAATGATGAGGAAAAGTATTTCTGTCACCGATGTGGAAGAAAGAAGGATTCCAATTCAACTTGTACATTTTGTGTATAGATTATGCACCTCTCTTTATATATCTCTAATCTATCTCCTATCTAACCCGATTAATGTTTGAGTACATCATATCCCTAGTGATAAAAACCCGGTTATGATTCACTTTCTCTCGGTGTGATTCATTACGCAATTAGCTTCAAATTAGGATGAAATCATATGTTTTCATTTCTATATGTATTATATTATAATTATATATATATAGTATATACATACGTGTACATTATACCCTGTTAGCACCCTATAACACCTTATATTATAATTTTATTTTTATTATTAATACGTGTGTATTCATTTATATTATTATTATAACATTGATTCAACACGTGTAATTATCAAACTGGTTTTGTCGAAAACGGTAAGATAAGAAATCTTTGAGATGCGATCCTTTTTGTCCATTCTGAGGAGAACACAAAGTGCCTTCTTATCTTATTCCTATAACATCGTTGTGTTCATAGCAATTTGAATTTCGTTGATCATTTAGACCACCTATTCAATTTTCTATTCTTTGATATGATTCATTATAGCTTTTTTTCAATTTTTTATTTGTGTGCCTTTGTTGTTCTGTTGCTATGCACAAGCGTATAGCTATAAGATTAACTATTCAATTTAGAGAACATACACTACTTACGGTAATATACTATATATGTATTGAATGCATATATAGCATATTAAATGCTACCTCCAAGAGTTGTGTGTTAAAATTCTATTTTAGACCGAAATTTTGAAAAGCCTTTAGGATTTTGTGATTTACATATATATATATATATAATATTACTAAACTATATACTCGCGAATAGTCAGAAACAAATGTATCATACTTATATATTTATATATTGGAACCTTGTATTACTTGTATATTAATCTACCTCCTATTCTCACTTTATATAACCTCCGCCGCTCCTACCCTGTACCACTTATACTAGATACATGTAAACAGCCTTATATATATTGTGCTTTACTGAATATGATTGTATTAGACCATTTTTTTCTTATTTTGGACGGTTTTGCTGATGTGTACAAACTTCTGATATGTTAATATTCTCATTATGTCATCCATTGATCCATTTGATCCATTTGATTGTTTTTTGATTGAGCTGTATAAAGGTGCGCTTCTGATGCAGTATTTTTAGTTGTTATTTTCAAACCTGTATAAGGGCACACAGAGACAATCGCTTTTAAAGTCGTCTTCTTTGCATAGCGGAATCCGCTCGTATGTATGTACAAAAGCAATACAAAGCAAATGTTTGTCAGAATGCAGTCTAACCATAATCCTTCGTCGCTATTTAGATAACGAACGAAGAGCCTCCCACCCATCTCTAGCATCACCTACTCTACTAATCATACTATGCCCTAGTACAGACTAAACAATTGCATTCTATCTACAGCATGAAATCAGAAAGTCAATTCGCATTCGCTTTATCGACTTCCAATCATAAATTGTTACTTTTATTGTCTGATTCCATTTTATTATTGGATAATAAATGGGAAAAAGACAAAAATTTCACAAGCAAGGGGTTGAATAAATAATATTTTTAACATTTTTATCAATATAACTCACTTGAACTTTCATGTGTTGTGTATTTTCTCCAGCTTTCCAATTTGGAACTGTATTTATTCGACTGCTGATACGATAGAAGCTCAGAACAAGGTTTCAAGTTTCTCGACCTATAAAACACAATGTCAATAAGTCCGTCAAGACAATCTCTATTTTAAGCATCCTTGTGTTTGTAAACTTACCGGCTGACCCTTTTGGATATTCTAGTTCTCAATAGAGTTCGACGGCTGTGTTTCTATTTTTATATATTAGTGTGTGACTCTTTGTGTGTGTTACAATCCCTTTTTTGTTTCGTTAGATTTTCTTATCTCAACAGGCCCATTCTATTGCTTCTCTTTCTCAATACTTGGTTTTTTACTTTTATTACTTACTTTTTCGTTATCTTTTTTTGATATTTTCTACTATTATTTTATTTTCTACTTTTATTTTTGCTTAGAAATATGACACAAAACTACGCTCACGGTTTTTGGGAAATTGGCTTGTATAAGAACAATGTTCGTAGAATAAAGGTGTGTGTTACACGGTCACTTCACTCTTTGACACTCAAATCACTTTAGGATGGGATAGATCAGTTGGAAGATTACACCAAGATGCTTAAGGAGCGTGCCGAGTTAGAAGCCAAATACTCAAAGTCTCTAACACTATTTTCAGAAAAATGGAGAGGTTTCGCTTCAAAGTATACATACAGTTGAAATCTAAGCTTTAAAACTTGTTTTTTTAGTCATCTGATGAATGGAAGTGTGCAAACAGCCTGGCTGGGAGTAGTGTCACACGCGGATACTCTGTCACAAGCTCACGATGATTTGAGGAAACGTTTGAATGAAGAGATCACAAAAAAAATTATGAGTTTTCGCAAGGAAAACTATCATTTCTCTGCTTTTCGAGCACCCAAAGAGTGTCGAGAAATAGAGGATGAGTTTGAAAAAGTAAAAACAATCCCTCCCTACATTACTGTTCAAACAACTTTTCAATGTGTTTAAGGCTCAGCGGCAATGGAAGAAGCTGTTCGATCGGATGGACAATGCGAAGAAAAACTTTCACATTGCTTGCAGTTCGGAAAGAACAGCCCTCATTGCTCATCAAAATGCAAAAGTTCTTATTCTTCCATATTTGGGATTAACAATTATCGATTTTCAGGCAGATACCTCTATCTCGCCAGATACAGCTCAAAAGTTTTCAGAAAGACTTAAGAGGTGTGAAGAAGAAACAAAAAAATTGAAAGAAGAATATGAAAAAACATTGAAAGAACTAACACAATACAGGTTTTCCTCCTTGCCACCGTGCTAATCCATCCTGTTTCCTTGAAGGACTCCTTATGTGGAAAACATGACATTCGTTTTTGAGAAATGCCAGAAACTGGAGCTCGACAGATGCATCTTTCTTTTAGAACAAATGAGAGAAACTCAGAAGGCTTTTGTCGATCTGTTGAATAACGAGAAGTTAGCTGCTTTATCAAAAAATTCAATTACCTCTTCTGTTGAGAATACATGATCAGCAGCAGGATTTGGAAAACGTTCTTCAAACGCTGAACAAAGCATCTCTGGACAAGGATCTGGATGAATGGTCGAAGAACTATGGCGTTCACACATCAACAACTTGGCCTGAATTTGAAGTGAGTGTCAGATGTGTTCCAACTATAATTATTCCTTTACAGACGTTCTGTCCTGAAATAAGAAATATTTCGGGTAAAGCAGGTAACAAAAAGTGTGAAGGGGTTATCCTCACTAAGCAATCAATCAAATACGATGACAATCCTATAACGAATTCATTGGAACATACAAGATTGGAAAATAACACAGTAATATAGATACAAAACATATGAAGTAATGAAGAAAGATACTTAAGGAAAATATTCGTATAGAGACAACTCAACCTAAGACAATCGAGAAGAAGAATGAAGATAATGACAAAGAAGGTTTGAAATTTCAACACTTATATCTTAATCCATCGTTTAGCTTCAGCAGAAAGTTATAATATAACAACAACTACCGAACTTGAACAATCAAGAGCTAATGCTACTACTGCTATTGCTTTGTATGACTACAATCCTGTCGAACCGGATGAAATTCATTTGATCAAAGGTTTCCATTTTTTACCTGCTTTTTGATGTAACCGTCTAACTTAGATGAAATAATTGAATTAACATCTACTCCTGACAGCCTCGGATGGTGTGCTGGTCGGAAGAAGGATGGAGAGGTAATCTCATCAACTTGAGCCTTCAAACAAACATCTGTTTCAGTCTGGTTTCTTCCCCTTCAGTTACGTAAAAACCCTGTAAAGAAGTGACAAAACATCAAAAGTTTTGTATCCGGTACATGGCTCAAAGCTGATAAAAGATTTTGAATATATTATTCTATTCATTATATATATTTATACAGAATAAATATAAATCTTATAATTCTAAATTAAATCTCTCCGTTTCCTCATTAAACTTGTACTCAGTTTGTCAGCTACAAGCTTATAATGCTTTTTTCTACGCAATCTAGATAAAGTTTTTATTTTTTCATCAACTATGTTATCAACTTACAATTTTCTAACCAGTTTATCGTTGCAGGAAGATTGGCTGTTCTGATTCAGAACAGCAGATATCCTTAGTAACCGTCTTTCCATTTTCCGTATTCTAAATTCATAGTAAATCTTCTATAGAGTAAGTTTGTATTCTACTTTTCTAATATAAGTGCTTTACAATTTTTTAAGCGTTGATGCCGATACACCAACGAAGAAACATGCTCTAATACAAAATTAACCATCGTAGGAATATCCACTGGAGAGTTGGGTGATAAAACATGAAAATCTGATCTACTGAATGTTCTAAGTAATCCAAATGTTTGATAAGTTTATACAAACCCATCACTTGGTATAATCATCAAAACTGGCAAGCTAGCGAAGTTCAAATGGTAAGGTAGGTGTGAAGCCGTTATATCAAGTCTGTAATATATACTTTCATCAACACCTTGCATGCTAACTCACATTCTGAAAGATATATGTCTTGAAAACCGAGCAAACATTTGAGCCAGTGTATGGAACTTAGACAAACTGACAGATGTGAAGACATTTTCTTTATTCCCACTAATAAGAACGACCATATCCTTTTTTGTACTCTGCAAGGTTTAGTGTAAACAAACCATGTCATTTATTTCAATGATAAAAACCTTACTGTCCCTCAATATTTCCTCAAGGGATGCCTTTCTAATTACAGATTCTTTCGTTTCTCCCGTCATGGCACTGATTTTTGTTTTGATAAGCTCTGTTGATGGTTCTCTGAAAATAATAAACTCTTTTGACGTAAACACGACGTGAGAATGCGATACCGTAATATTCTTGTTTGCAAGCTGCTTTTCACTGATTTCTCATGATAATCTGTCACAAACTGACGTACAGCCGAATCATCCCTGGAATAATAATAACAATATTCTGAGCTTCTGAGTATGAAGAAATACCATGACGACGAGTTGTGTATGGTAACAAGCTCATTTGATTCATCAAGAATTAGAAGCATACTTTTTGATGCATTATTGTTTGTTTTCAGAGTATCCGTAACCAGGGAAGAAATTTTGCTCAATAACAGTTGACCGTCCGTCAATGGGAGATAAACAAACTTCAAGCTACCATTACTCTGAGAAATTGAAAATATCATTATCTATTGAGGGTTTTGCAAACCGCGCATCCCAAGCCTTCAAAGGCATTGTTATTTTGAATGTTTGAATCACACGTCCAATAGTCTTGTGAAATCTATAAAGCATCAAACTAAACATGTATGCATAAGCCTTTAAAACCTCAATGAAAGATAAAACATTCATAAGCGTCGATGGTTGTTCAGGGTTCTTATCTACATACAGCAGAAGTTTATTTTCTCCTAACAACTCAGAAAACTTTGCATTTTTCACCTCAGCAGCAACACCTTAAGAAAATAGTAGTGTAATAGCGAATGAAATCGATAATTCCATGAACTCACTTATATCTAGTAACTCTACTTTGCCTACTGTCTGCTCCCTTTGTTTTTCAATCCAATCTATGATTTCTGTAGTTTGTAGGTACTCTTCATCATAGAATGCATACTCATCTAAAGACAAATGATCAGTCTCGTGAACAGGATATTTCCAAACCGTTTCCGAAATAGTAATAAATTCCTTCCTCTTCCAAACCAATCATTTCTGCCAATTCAGCATCTCGAATGAGGCAGAAAGTTGTTAACTTGTCAGCTAAAATATATGCTTTCAAAAAATCCTATAATAACTGGTTACCAAGCACTCCTTTTTTATGAAGCATGGATACTATGTAGAAAGACATGAAACCACTCGGATTTTGCATTCCCTATAGACTATGTTGTCAAATAAAATGAGAGCACCTTACATTAAATCGAAAATATCCAATCACAACATTCTCACTCAAAGAACGTATGTTTTGGAATGATGATAGTCGTATCGCTTCAACATATGGTGCTTTAAGGCTATTGAGCCAACTGGAAAACCACAACATAGTTCGATTAACTTTAAAGTGCTTACTTTATCACGCTTTGTTCTTCAAGATCTCCTCTATATGATAAAAAGCCATTTTCAGTGAAGACTGCCAGCATAGGAAATGTTGGAATTTTATATTTCTCTCGACAAGACCCTTTCTTATTGAAACAGTTAACAGCAACAAACTTAAGCTGAAATCAATTATGTTTCGAGTCTGTTCATGATTCTCAATACCATGTCATCTAGAGCAAAATGCTCTGCAACATCATGAAATAGTTGTCGATTATGAAAACTTCTTGTACTCCATGGAGTATAAAAAATAATAACGGCTAAAGGACTGCTATGAACAGTTCTGAAATATATGTAAACTGCAATTAAACATGTGGTTCATACTGCGTAATATCTATTTTCCCGTCATAGTAATCTTCTATATATGGAGAATCGAAAAAGGGAATGGGTGATTTGGCATTTCTCATGTTAAGAGCAGTATATCTAAATGTAAAATATCAAATTCATATACTCGAAAAATCCCAACTTAGATGGCTGCATACTCATTACGTTAAATATATATATTGAACATATAAGAGTTATGAAAAAGCATAACAATGAAAAGTCTAATGCGGGATAACCGGCTATTGTCATGAAATTATCTATAAACATAAAATATAATAGCAGGAATTAAGATTAATATTGTTTTACTTGTTTGTTCTTTTGCTACTGTCTCTTCTTTCTCTTCTTCATTATCAAAATAATCTACAAAAGAGTCAAGCAAATCTTAATGTATCATTATTTGAATTATTAAATATAATTATAAACCTGAATCTTCTACTTCTGACATCAAAGTATATGGTGGTTATCAAATAATATAAAAGGCGCGCTTCCCGTGCGACCCTGTCGATTAAAGGTCTAGTTCGATCGTTTCGAAACAATCAATAATACATGAATGCCAAAAGGAAAATACTATACTACGTGACCTATATTTGCTAACGTTAGATATCAATCAAAGATCAAGTGCTCCTGAGAAAACTACATAGGATGACCCCTATCAATGTTTTTATCAGATTAAAATATATTACCAATTTATTGTCTATTGGTTTCCCATAAATAAACTATAAAACAATATCAACACAACATTTTATTGTAGACCAATAAGAGAACGAACAAAAACATAAACTCGAACGAAAAAAAGTGAAAAGGGTGATCAGTTGTTTTTCTTATCAACTGGATCAGAGGTATCGGTGATGGCAGCAGTCTCGGGAGCTGTGTGATCTTCTTCCAGAGAAGTTCCAAACTCATTTTGACGCTTAGGATCCACACGGTAAATCCAACGTTGGTACAAATAGATCTGCAAGTGTTAATTGAAAAGTTTATCAATGTTTTCATTGTTACCAGGAAGATAATATCATCACGGAAGCATCCGATACGATACAATGTTGGCATTCGAATAACGAATGCGAACAAGTCGTCAATGAAGGTGTTGATGAACTTATAAGTCAACATACCCCAAGGCAAATGAGCAACAGACTTCAACTTATAATTGATAAATAGCTGTAAATCAAAATTTCATCGATAACACTGGGAAATGATAAATTACCTGAGGTGTCATGGTAATAAAACCAAAAGTGAGCAAAAATCCATAGAAAATACTGAGGATCCATGAGTACCACCCACGTTGTTCTTCATAGATAACAGAGTAAACGGCATAACACCCGAGAAGAGGGAACAGAAGGAAGCTCAGGTACTTGAAAGCCATCTGAAAAATCTCTAGTTAAATTAAATTTACTCGTGATAGTCTTACGTCATCATAAACTTTAGTATCACTCTCTACGTAGGTACCCTTGTCAGCAATTGACATTCTTGGGATAACTCCCAATATCTTGTTTTCCCAATCGATCTATAAAACCATAACTTTAATACAACTCATTCATTTGACTTACCGTAACATCAGTTACTTTTGGAATTTTCCAGCACTCTATGAGAAGTCCAACTCCGACAGACATTTTAACCACAAAGTTGGTGTCATTATCGCAGATGTACAGGAAAACAATCAGAGACTAGAATAAAAATCTATTAACTCTTAAAAGACTCAAACACTAACTTGGAAAATCTTGAAGAAAACAGATCTAACGGACAATCCAACGAGATCCTTTCTTGTTCTCCAAAACTGAATATCATTCTTGAAGGCAAGGAACTCGAAGACGGTGTGTAATAATGACACAAACATTGTCACTCCTGAGAGATCTTGTTTTTGTTTTTCCATTCAGAATTCTATCAAACCTAATAAAATGGGATTCGTTTCAATCATAGCTTGTTTGATAGAGTCTTGATCATTATCGTTGTCATTTTCCACAAGATCTCCAAAAGGTGAGCTCCATTGGTTCCTCATTTCGTGACCAGCATACATTTGAAATTTGAACAGACTCAGAGGGGCATACGTAATCGAGAGCATCAACTCCTAAAACAAACAAAATCATCAATCAACGTCATTGAATTTAAAATTACTTCATCCGTGGCATTAATTGGTTGGTATTCCGATCCCAAGTTCCAGAAATCATTGAAATAGACGATTGGGAAATAAAACAAGCCATGCGAATCGAATTCGATGTTCTCCTTCAATGGGGATGGGAGAGCTCCTGAATGTCTTTTCTTACAGCGCTTAATGAAGCGTTACTTACCTCTTGTCCACTGGGTTTCATCAGCAACAATATTGATTGTGAGATTTGGATGCCAGAAATTGAGAATTTCAAACTTCATTTTCTCAGCTTTGCGCAAGTCTTCAGCGCTTTGTTCGCTTTCCCCAGTCAAAAGATTAGCGGTCTTCTTATAGATTTTCTTTTTGTACTTGTTCAGCTTATGTGTTCTCCAGTGAGTCTATAGAGTCAAATATGTGGTACACTAGAAGTTTAATGTGTTCTATACCTGTCTCTCGGAGTACTCTTTGGACTTTGGATCAGGAGAGGCACCCGATTGAACCATGAAGATATGAAGATATATTGATTCGTTTCTTCTCAAAGCGGCGGGTGTTTTAATACTCTTTTGGAATATAAATGAGCCATCCTTAAATTTATGGGTGAGTAAACGATCGTAGAGCATCTTTAAGTACCTTATTATCTCCAGCTGTCCAATCGCCGAATTTCAAGTTCTTCTGCGACCAAAAGAGCTTCTCAAAATTGTTGAAATCTTGGAATCGATCTTCCTGAAATGAACATACATCTATATAACACTCGAACAATCAAACATACCGAATCATCCAAATAAAAATGTAAATCAAATGCATCTCCTATCTTATATAAATTTCTAGAAGCTGGGGAATAAACAGATTTGCTGTTGCTATTATTATTTCCCGCTTTTGGCTGAAAATATTCAATAAAATATTCATTAAATAATTCATATACAACGACTTACCGCAAAAAATGATGAAAAAAAGTAGCACATGAGTAATGTGGACAGGAACGACCGGACACGTGCCCATCCCTTCAATTATAATTAATTATAAGAACACATGTCGGCAAAACACTCACCGAATTATTATTATTATCCGCAGCTGGCACTTCTTCTACGTCACCCATAGTCAATATATACGGATTATATATATATATAAATAAAACAACACAGAAGAATTATTGTAAGAGACTAGATGCTCCTAAAAATGAAAGGTTGACAAAAAAAGGGCACCACGCTGACGGCTGTTAAAAACAGTGCAAACCGTACGTAATTATGTATACATCGTTGGATGAAAATTTTAATCTCGTAGCTAATCCTGAACAAGTTTCTCTTCATTCATTTTGAATTCTGCCGTATATTTATGTTAATTTTGTAGTTTCATATTACAATTTCCCTCATTTCCTCTCATATTTTCATATAACAATGCGTAAAGGAAGCCATTTATTTTCAACAGATTAAACTAGCTAAAAAGTGAAATGAACAGAATAAATCGCACCGAAAGAATATAATAGATATAACATTAGAATTTTAAGAGAGTTTAAGTGAAGCATATGACTTATAAATTGTGAGAAAAAATAACAACGCTGATTGCATTTTTGTCTACAATATAAAGCTAAAAGCTACAAATAATAATACAGTAAGAATCGATAGCAGGAAGGTAGTAGGAAAGAATCGTCTACAGGAATAGTTGTATGTGTATGTCATTGTTCTTGTCTTTATGAATATATATTAAATTAAAACTACAGTATTTCGGATGAAAATTGATAACTACATATCGTGACTTCATTCATCTAAAGCTCAAAGAATATTTGGTGATAGTGAAGTAATTTACTAATGAAAAAAAGGGAATCTATATGAACAAATTGATGATTTCGCCGTCGTCGAGCAATGGGGGTATTAGAGAGAATATAAAGGGAGCAATATCTCCGACCGATATCAAAGAATTTTTGATTATGTTCTTCATTCAATCTCGTATGTTCTGAAATTGGACTATTTTTACTTCGATACCTTACTATCTTACCGTTGTGATAAATACAGCGATGTCAAAATCCAATATTTTAATTTTCTTGAGCCATTCAAGTGCTAGCAATTCTGGATACTTTGGACGTTGCTGATGATCTCTTGCAAGGCTAAATTATTTATGCAATCGAAGTGTATTTGAATTGCCTAGAATTACCACTTTTTGATGAAAATTGAACATTCCGATGAATATCCGATATCCATCGGTAATGATGGAGGGCTCTCATATACAACCTATTCGTACTCATTATACTTCAATCTTTCTCTTGAAGTAGATACCTGTTTAAGCTGATCAAAAGGCGTCTTCCAACTTGAGTATGGATGCTTACCAGTACTTATTTCGATCTTAATCAGATAAATAACAATTTTTCATGCATTTCAAATCGTACTAAAGTGATTCCGAGACTCCAAACATCCGACCTAACGTCATAGGCTTCTCTTGTATCTCCTTGGATGCGTTCAGGAGCCATATAGGGCTTACAACCTGCTTGGATGGTCTTAAAAAAACTCATACATATAATATGTATTTCACTGCATATCTTACTTTGGCTACACTGTTTGTCAGATTCCCAGAGATACCGTAATCGCATAATTTGATGCTACCGTTCTTGCTAAGTAGAATATTGGATGGTTTCACATCTCTATGCATCAGATTCATTTTCTCTTTCATAAAATGTAAACCAGTTACAACCTGCAAGATAGAACTTTCCCATTCTCTGAATCACTATCATCTCATAACTTACCGATAGTGCTACTTTGCCGACAAAACTTTCTGGCATTCTGTTTCCTTCTTGGAAGACCTTCGGATAAAATTTATCCATGGAGATGTCCATCACTTCCATGCATATCCAAACATCACCTTCTCGGAACATAGCACCATAGAAACGAACCATCTGAATAATTGTACTAGAGTTGTACATACTCCCCTGGGTTAGCTCACTTCTGAACAGCCTCCACTCAATTTACAAGCATTTAACTCAATCAGCATTTGTTTATGAGTTATATCATTCTCAGTTGATTTTATTCGCTAAGGTTATTATATTTAACTATATGAAAACTTAATAAAATCTCACTTTCACAGCAAAAACAGCTCCTGATACCGTATCTTGCATTTTCTCTACAACACCATATGCTCCTTTTCCTAGCAGTTCTACCGTTTTCAAATTGATTGCCTCCACTTCTATTGGTTTTTCATCTTCAGTGAATCTTTAACTTGCGAAGATGAACACAACTACTCCTTGTTGAACTCACTGTATCACAAACTTGTCATCCAAGTTTATAGGAGGTGGTAGTTGCGGACTCGGTATCACCAATTTTTTCAATTTAATCTCTAAAGTAATACAAAGAATACTTTGATTAATATAATATAAGAAGAAAAAAGTATTTAAAACTTACGTCTTGACATTACTGCAAATACAACTGAGAAGCAGGCTGGAATTGCCGCTGAGCCTGTGCAATATAGATGTCAATGTCAACTATTGGTTAATTTCAATATAATTTTCTCGAGAACAATTAATTAAGTTAGTTTATGTTTCAGCTGTTTCAAAAGACCTATTGAAAATTATTCAAACGCAAGAATGAGCACACTTGTATTTTATTGCAGCTATAAGCAGTTAAATTATTCGAAAAAGTTCATTAAAGTGTCGTAAATGGAATGACAAAGGATGGGTAGAACTAATTCAACAAGTTTATGACAAATGACGAGACGTGTTTTATCCATGTCAAGTTATAGACAAGCTTACAATTTGAATAAGCTTACTAAAATACTTTTTCGAAAGTTAAAGTCAAGTCCAAACAATGAAAAGCCTATTGTTATAATCTCTTTCTTTTTCTCTTTCTTTTTCCATTCTCCTTTTTTTCTTGTTGGACAACTTCAATTTTGGAAAAGGGGGGGGGGGATGGGAGAGAGAGGGGGGGGACAAAGAGCAGAAACGAAGAAAAAATGTTTCAACGAGATTTAACAAATGCTGCTAATTTGAATTGACGCACATCAGCCTCTAATTTTTCCGAATTAAATAAACAAAATTAAAGACATTTTGTGTAAATGTATGAAAGCTAAATGATTTTATCGGCTTTTCGCTGCCAAAAGAGAATGAGAAGCGTTTCAAATTGCAAACAAATCGAGAGCATCACATTCACAACTATGGAAAAGATCAATGTAACACATATTAATATATAAAATGGCTATAAAACTGCTGGATAATACTGAACGGATGTGGCAGAGAGGAAAATGGTAGAGGAAATTGGTGAAAAAGGAGGGGGGGGGAAATGATGTGAAGAGTGTAGAAGGGAAATGAATAGATGGATAAGGATAAATGTTTTCAAAATATTAAAACATTCTTCTACAAATATCCATCTTATATCATTTGTAACATTAACATGAAACTACACATGTTAAAGATAAAGAGATAGAAAGAGAAATATCTATAAAAAGAAAGAAATTTATCTCATTATAATCATCATCATCATCGAAATGAACTTATGTTATGTAAAGATCAAAAAAGTATTCATGATATTTCTTTCTTTTTATAATATATTGAAATGTCAAAAAACAATTTGACATTTCAAATCTTTCTGTTTAACAACACATAGGTTTCTTTAACATTCAACACACAACAATGTATAAGAATAATAACAATGAAAAACAAGAGGATTTATTACAAAATATCAAAGAATGGATCAATATTTTATTATTATTATAGTAATTAACTCACCAAATGATCACCGTTTCCTTAGTGTTATCATAAACAAAACATAGACGAGGCTTTATGCTCCCAACAGACACAGCTTAAAATTATAAAATAATAAGTTTTTATTATAATCTTAAACTATTCATCTAGTTAAGGAAACATAATAGAAAAGTGAGAATGATATGATGACTAACTATATGATATGATTACAATATACTTATATATATATATATATATAATAAAGAATATTATATACAATAGTTAATTAATAATTATAAATAGAAATGAGATTAAGAACATGTTGATACATATTGTGTGTGTCAGCTAATTACTTGACCACATCTCTAGCCTATTCTATTGAATATTGTGAGAGTAAATAACAATTACCTTTTATTTCCTCACGTACTAATAACTATGTAACGTTTACACAAAAAGAGATACGCACATATTTATCAATGGAGCAATTATTTAAAAATTTAAAATTTGAAAAAAAAAAAAAGTTTTTTTTTTCTCGTCACATGTTGCGTATATGGTTGTTTCTGTGTTGCAATTACAATATTATTCTTTTGTCTTCATTCTTTGTTGCTCATCTCTTTAGCGATTAATTCATTCTCATCACGTGATTTCCAATAATCTCATGTTATAAGACGTTTGTTTGTTTAGTTTTAACACAAAAAAATCAATATTGTATACCCGGTTTTTCATCACATTCTATTCGCAAAACCACATCCATCCATTTCCATCCCCCACCCACCCCTCTCTCCAGCCACCCCCCTTCATCATCATCCCATAAATAATTGCCTTTGTCTGTTCCAATAAATGGAGAAATTCAATTGAATGGATATGATGAGATTTTTTGTCTTTTTTTTTCTTTTCTTTCGTCATTCTTGAAATGTTCATGTCCATACATGTTACTATGATTTATATGAAAGAAATAAATATATTATATATATGAAGATTTATATTTATACATACATTACAACATGTACATATATTATATATAATTGAATGGAGAAGCATTCTATTGATCTATGAAAATGATTTATTGAAGATGAAAATAATCTTAAAAAGGCTTATTGAGATAATGGAAAACGAACAAACTATATCTCTCAACTTCTCAAGTATGTTATTCGGCTTCAATTCAATTTATTACATAATTTATTGGCTTTATTGGTTGTGCAGCACGCGGAGCGGCTGCGTGGCGTGGTGATGTTTTTAAAAAAACATTTGTCATCTAACAGTGTAAATAGTGATATTTCACTCAGATTATTTGTAAATATGTTGGGCAAGTAAATCCATACAATCAGAACATGTGTTCAAATGAAATTGATCATCATTTCATGTTTATTGTAGAGGATATATGCTTTTCATTCATTATAAATGCGTAAAAATAATTAATAATGTGTAATAGTGTTGAAAGTTTGTGAGAAATGAGATGAAAGACGAATTGTATTGTATGGATAGTATGGTTAGTTAAGCATATGTTAATGGTTGAAAGCTCATTAATGAGACATTCAGCTTGTTTGATATATTTTGTATTATGCTGAGCCATATCTCGACCTTTGTTTGACCCCGCTGACCTTTTCCTAAGCCTGCTAATATTGTAAAGAATATATAAAAGAAAAGTGACAGATTGAATGCCAAGATATTGGGACAAGCGAGGTCAATAACCTATAGCTAAGATGTGTGTTGCAGAAGCAAGAGGGTCACAGACAGCATCAGACTTAGTGCATTGAACAGAGAATTAGAGAAACAGTTGGATGAGGATGAGAGAATACATAGACTGAGTCATACGAAGAGAGTTCAGATTAACATGTCCAAAGTGGAAGAGAAGAAGGGTGCTAGTGAACAAAAATATCGAAAAACTATAGCAGTACGAGTTTTTAGCTATTGTTTTATATTATTGTATACGGATAGATTATCTATATTATATATATATATTATTAAAATCATTTTTATATATATTATAAGATTTCGATTGTTCATATGGATATATTTATATATATCTAACTATATATATATGGTTAGTTAAGCATTTTTGTTCATATTTCACACTGACCACTTGACTATTTTGAAAAATAAGAATAAAAGAAGGCAATACGACCAAAATAATATGTTATTTATATATATATATGAGAGACCTTTTTTCTTTTCTTTTTCTTTTTCTTTTTTCTCCAACAAATATTTTATAGAAGTTGCTTAGTTGTTTTATTTTTCTTCTCATATCTTACATGTTATAGTATGAATTACAGTGATAGAGCTCTGGATACAGACAGACATGTAGAGAGAGAGAGAGAGAGCAAGAGTAGTAGAAGGAAGCTATAAAGGGAAATTGCTTTTACAACAAAAAAAAACGGCTAATATTTAGAGTGTATTTTACTTTTCTTTCTTTTTTTTTCTTCCTCCGCTTTAATACAATTGAATTAAGTACGCTAATAGAATATAGCGATGGAGAAGATCGCTTCATTTCCGTTTTCACTACAATTTTCTGAAAATAGTCATTCTTTCCTGTTCTCTTAGTACATTCTCATTGAAAGATACGAAAGTACATATCATTAGACATCATCTTCATATGTTAATGAGTATTCAATGAGTTTTCTTTTCTTTTACTTCTTTTTTCTTTTTTTCTTTTTTGTTTTTATTAATTGTTTCAATTATTTTCAGACAAATTTCTTTGCCCTTAATCTGGTATAGCAAACAATGACATGTTAAGAAACTAATAAAACAAACGTGTCTCAAGGTTAGTTTCATCTTTTTTTTCAAATCAAAAACCTTGTTCAGACGATTAGCATATTATATTCTGGACAGACACATCCAAAATCATTTTTAATTCAAAAAATTGCAGGTTCATTGTTTGTTTTGGGCTCAACTTGTTCTCCATCGTATATATTCATAAATATCTTCATTTCTATATACATTTTGTTAAACAAAAATTGTTGTGTTTTCATTTTTCTATTTTATTCATCTAAAACAACAAACAAAAAAGAGGAAATATTCTTCTTTTTTTTTCTAACATCTATTGCTATCCCTGTTATCATTACTTGTTATGAGCTGGCCTAACGGAAACATGATGTGCGATGTTATGCCAACGATAAATGAAGATGGTATTGATGTTAATACCGAAGAACATCCTTCTTCACATGACAATAACATCGAACAGGTGAGTTCTCTAACAAACGCTCCATTTCAATTCTCTTTTCTCTTCTCCATTTTCATTTTTTTCATTTTTCAGCTTATGGTCAATATGCTTGAAGATCGGGATAAACTCCAAGAGCAGCTAGAGCAATATAAGAAGACTATTGAAACAAAAGATCATCAGGCAAAGTTATGGGAAAAGGAAAAAGAAAGTCTCCTCAGGCAAATAAATCTGCACACTCAGAGCTTACCACCCGTCAGTTGTCAATAGAGATTAGCTTTTGAATATTTTCCATTTAAGGAATTGCAAATTTTAACGCGAGAACTCATACAGCTTAGAGAAAGCCTTTTAGAGAAAGATGAAGAAATAGTTGAATTAAAAGTAAGTTACATCATCTCAAATATCAAGAATCAAATTCTTTTAAGGCCGAGCGTAATAACACTCGACTGTTATTAGAACATCTAGAATGTCTTGTTTCTCGTCACGAACGTTCCTTACGGATAACTGTGATGAAAAGACAACAACAGAATCAAGCAGGAGTATCTTCAGAAGTAGAAGTGTTGAAAGCTTTGAAAAGTTTATTCGAGCATCACAAAGCCTTAGATGAGAAAGTGGGTTAATTTGAAGAAAACGGAATGAATTGTCCAATTTAGGTCAGAGAACGACTAAGAGTTGCCATGGAACGCGTAGCTACATTAGAAGATGATTTGACAATAAAGAATGATGAAAACATTCAATTGAAATCTCGCATAGCTGTCTATGTGAGTGAAGCTGGCGACTCACAAGTATGGATAATTGAAAAACGTCATATAACGGAACAAATATGATATTATTTCAGAAGTTAGATGAAAAAACGAATGGTGGAACAGGTATTGATTCAGCTCGCATGTTAGACATGCAGGAAGCTTGCGAACGTTTGAGATCGGAACTTCAAAATGCTGTTAAACAGACCGAAGACTTATTCCGGAGGTAACAATCAAATAAACGCCGACTTGGAACAGTCATGCAAAATGAATTTAGAAATGCCGATTTGGAAGAAGAGTTATCTAATTCTCAAGAGCAGCATCAATCGGTTCAAGATCAGATAGTGAAGTTCAAAAATCAACTTCAAGAAGCAGAAGCTCAAAAAGTAGAACAACAACGAAGATTTGATTCGCTCGAAAATAGATATATGAGTTCGCAACGCGAATTCACATGCATCAGAGATCTGAACGACAAGCTTGAGCATGAGGTAGACGTTTAGCTAGACTTATATCATTAATCCGATAATTATCAGTTGGCAAATAAGGATGCCTCTGTAAGACTGAACGAGGAAAAAGTGTATTCTCTTCAAAACAAATTGGAGTTGGCAGAAAAACAACTTGCGCAATCACTCAAAAAAGCTGAAAGCTTGCCTACAGTAGAAGCCGAACTACAGCAGAGATTGAAAGCATTGTCAGTGGCCGAGCAGGTAGAGATATCGATGGGCGGATTTATTAAGTAAAGTCATTTTTAGAAACAATTGTCAGCTGAAGAGAGAATACATGCCGTAGAGAAGCAGATGAGTGAAAAGGCAGGAGAATTGGATCGAGCTTTGCAAAGAGAGCAGATGAACGAAGAACATAACCAGCGATTAAGTTCTACTGTAGACAAACTTCTATCAGAATCGAATGATCGTCTTCAATTGCATCTCAAAGAGCGCATGCAGGCTTTAGATGATAAAAATCGGCTGACGCAAGAGCTTGAAAATAGTAAAAAATTGATGCATCAAGCTGAAAGGGCGGTCGACCGCTTCCAACGGGAGAATGATTCGTTAAAAGCAGATGTTGATCATTTGAGAAGGCAGTTATATAGCAATCGAACAGCTCAGTTTACGTCAAAGTGAGTATAGATATGAAATATCCAATTAGTTTCATGTAACAATGGAATATTTTTAGGATCAATTCCTCGCATTGCAATCTCATTTCCGGACAGAATAGCTGTTATACGCCAGGAGATCTAATAACCACTTATCTATCAAGTAATGAGCCACCTGCTGCATCATATGCAACCGTCGGGGCTAGAAGGGCTAGGAAGGGCCGGGTCGCATTACAGGCACGGATTAAAAAAATATTAAGGCAATTATATTAATATATTCTCTCAGAATGACGCAACAAAAGTCCAAACGTTGAATGAAGAAGAATGGGATCGTCTGCAGCAGGCACATGTGCTGGCAAATGTTCAACAAGCCTTCTCTTCATCACCGTCTCTAATCGACATGAATACATCGGTCCATCAAAACGACCCTCTAGCTGGAGCAGATAATACAATGTTAGCTTCAATGCTTCAAGACCATCTGGATGCAATCAACTCGGAGATTAAGTACATAATATAGAGAATAAGCAAAAAACAAAGATACGGTATTTTAGTATGATTAATCAAGAGAAGGAGTTAGCAGAGAAAGCCGTGGACCAATATGAAAAACAAGTCAGATTAGGATACTACTCTGATCACTCTCCTACACGTAGCTCACCGCAAACATATTCATCAGAGTTTGCTGGAAACAAATATTTCACAGTGAGTCATTGCAGATAAATGAGAGTTTCAAATCAATTTGTACTTCAGCTTCCCAATAGGTCTTATCAGGATAACGACTATCCACAAAGCGCAGTAAGTTGATTAAAATTTCTCAGGGAAAAGAAAGAGAAATTTACAAAAAACATTTTTTAGGTTCTGGATGACTCTATTCTCAGTTTGAAGAACAACGCATCTTTATATCGTTTAAAGAAAAATCAGCTGAATGCTCAAAACGATATTGACAGACTGAGCCCAGTATCATCTGTGGCTTCATCTTCTAATGGTTACACAACTAAAAAGAAGCGTAGTACTAGTTCTTCTGGTTTCCGAACACTAGGCAGACTTTTCACGAAAAAGAAATCTCAAACTATCTTAGGGTTTCATATTATTTCAAATTCATATACTAATTAGGTAATTATTCTAGAAACGAAGGATCGTTTTCGGATTCTGAAATAACATCCGGTATGGATGGAAGATTTGAGAAAGCAAATGAATGTGATAGAAGGAATAAGAAGAAACATGAGTTACTTGAAGAGGTAAATGAAATTTTAAGCTGAACAAGCAAACCAATCTATTTTGAAGGCTTTAAAAGCAAGAACACCATTTGCTTTATGGAATGGACCAACAGTTGTAGCATGGCTTGAGCTATGGGTGGGTATGCCAGCTTGGTATGTCGCTGCATGTCGAGCCAACGTCAAGGTATATAGTGAAATAATGATTGGAATTATGTGTTTGTATCCAGTCCGGAGCAATAATGTCGGCTCTTAGTGACCAGGAAATTCAAAGGGAAATTGGAATAAGTAATCCGCTACATCGACTGAAGCTGCGTTTGGCTATCCAAGTAATACAAAGGAAATGCTATATGATAAAACGGTCTTCTTAAAGGAAATGGTTTCTCTGACTTCCCCATCCGCTCCTCGTTCGACTAGGGAAAATTTCGCTCTAAGAGATATGAATCACGAATGGGTTGGAAATGAATGGTTACCAAGTTTAGGACTGGGTCAATACAGGTTTATCTCATTTCTATCTCAAAAAATTCAAACGAAACTTGAAGATCTGCATTTATGGAATGTTTGTTAGATGCTCGCATGTTGGAGCATCTATCAAAGAGAGATTTAAGATCACATTTACATATGATTGATAGCTTCCATCGAGCTAGTTTACAATATGGAATTTTATGCTTGAAAAAGCTTAATTATGATAAGAAAGTGTTGCAATCTCGTCGTCAAGCTTGCGAGGAGTTAAACACTGGTGAGAAGATAGCTGGCTTGGATAGGCTCTGATTATCTCTTTTTCAGATCTACTTGTTTGGTCAAACGAACGAGTTCAAAGATGGGTAGAAGAGATCGGATTAGGATCATATGCTCCCAATCTTCATGAAAGTGGAATTCACGGTGCACTTATAGCATTAGATGAGACATTCGATGCGTCAACTTTCGCAGTATCTTTACAAATTAACCCATTAGATAAACAAGTCCGAAAAGTAAGTAGAATTAGAGAACAAATGGAAAATGTATATTTCATACTTTCAGGTCTTAGAATCAAATTTCATTCAGCTCATACGTGACTTCCGAAATAATGGTGGTTACAACTTATAACTTCTATCTAGATAATCGTTTTTTCGGTTATTACTGACTACAATGCTTCCGGTTTAAAGAATCATAAGATGCCTAATAATAGATGATAATGATAAATATTGTTGTAGCTTGTCTCCTTCTGCCTCTCTGTCTAGAGGTTTCTCATAATCATAACTTGTTCATTCATGGAATGTGTCATCATAGTAATGCCTTTAATTAATTTATTTTTCATATTTCTTATCATATGCCTCTGACTTTTAGCGACATTGCCATGGAGTCTTTCGAACGGGCTTTTATATCATATTTTCTCGTTGTAATAATCAACTGCCTACTAATCAGCTTAGATAATTATCATTTGTTTGTTTCTCTTCCATTTGATAATAATTTAACTTCAAAATAAGTCATTTCATTTTATATAAGATTTAATTTATAAGCATATAAATACAATTTTGTACTATTTACAACAAAAAAGAAATGTTATTATAAAGTTTAATAAACAATTCTGTCATTACGAGAAACGTTTGTAACTCATCGTTCACATACTTAATCGCCTTCAAAATAATATAGTTAACTTATCAACTTTCTTCGGTCTTTTCTTTGATCTCTTCATCTTTATTATTCTCCTCTTCCTCTTCCTCTTCTTCTTCTTCTTCTTCTTCACCTTCTTCCTCAGCTTCTTCTACTTCACCATTTTCATCATTCTTTTCCTCTTTCTCTATTTTGACTTTCGACAGTTCATCTCTCAAACATTGCAATTGTGTTTCCAAGTCTTGCTTTTCTTGTTGGAGAAGGTTGATCTGTTGCTCAGACGTCTGGAAATAAGGAAACTATAAAATCGATTTGTTGTCATTGTTATAGGACTGCCAACTCATCCTTTGTTGTTAAACAAACTACAAACAAACTACAAACAACTCACTTCTCTCAATTCGTCTTGGTCCAGTTTAGCATTCTGTTCCAGCTCCTCCTTTAAACAGGTATACTGTTCTTCTAATTCATTAAGCTTGGCACTAAATTCTTTTTTCATTGCCAATTCTCGTGCTTCAGCTTGTTGACGTTCTTTTAGGAGCAGGTTCTCATATTGATCTTTCGTTTGCTCCTTTTCAGTTGTTACACTTTCTAAAACGGCTTCCAAAGCATGAATTTGAGACATCTGCATTTGCGCTTGACTTTCGCTTTCAGATTGTAAAGATTTTCGTTCTCTTTCCAAAAATTCAATCTAAATCAATTTAACTTAATTGAAATGCCAATGTTTGAACAGTAAAACCTTATTTTTCAAACTTTTATTTTCTGATTGAGCGTCCCTCAGTAATTGGTTCAAGTTATTTTCGCTAATTCTCAAGTCACTCATGGAGTCTGGAAATAATCAATAATGTAAAAGACGCCGATCAGTTATCGATTAGTTACCAGTCTTTTTCCTCATTTCCTCTTGTTTGAGTAGAACCTCTGCCTTCAGTTCGGCGTTCTCAGCTGATAATAATTGATGTTTTTGTGATATGGTACTATTTTTCTTTTTAACTTCATCTAAAGTCTTTGTGAGTGATTTGAGCTGTCTATCCTTCTCAATCACATCGCTTTCTAGCTTTGCTAGTTCTTGTTTCTTATCTGTCAATTCTTTCTGAACCACCTTAGCTTTATGCTGATGTTCTAAGATTCTATCTCGGAATTCATCTTGTCTGAAAAATTTTTTCTATCAAATTCAAAAGGATATGAGAGATACCTAGCTAAGAATTCATCTTTCAAAGATTGTTCATGTTCTTTCAAAGCTTCCAATTCTTTGGCATATAGATTTCGAGCAGAATTCAGCTCCGTTTCATATAGCGATTGAGCTTTACGAAGCTTAGCCTCGAAACCATCTCCTATTCTATCTTTTTCGCTTTTCAAGTTTTTTCTTTCTTCTTCTAGTAACTGAACTTCTATTATATATCTGTAAGAGAATGAAGATGACTGTCTTCTAATTCTTAAGCTCCTACTTCTGTTTCATACTAAGAAATTGTGATTCTGAGAACTTCTGTTCAAGTATTTGAATTTCTTTTTGATGTTCTTCTCGTAGCTTCTCTAATGCTTGTTCTTTCTCTCTGACGAACTTAGCCTATAATCAGAATAATTACTATAGTTTACATGATATTGAGTACCTGAAGAGAATGAAAAGTTTTCATTCGAGTTTCAAAATCTTTCTTAGCTCCTAATACTTCTTCTGATAATGCTATAATTCTACTTGAATATTCTGCTTCTAACTTCTGTTCTCTCTCTGCTATACGATCTCGTGTTGATATTTCATGTCTTTAATATAAAATAACTATAATATACAAATAGATATATAACTTACACATTATTAATTGAGCTTCTTTCTTGAAATACATTGAGTGTAGAATCATTCTGTTTATCAGAATTTCCAAGACATAGCTTAACAATCAGTTATAGAATAATTGAAAACAATCTTCTATTTCTCTACCTGTTCAATAATTCTATCACTCATACTGTGATATATTTGTAGAACTAAAATGCTTTATTTCAACAATTGAATATAGTGGCGTATCAGCTCGTTTCTGATATGTTCGTTAAGAGGGGGGATTATGGCAAATGGTGTTTCTTTGATGAGCTAGGAGGATATTCCTCGTCATGTGTTCTTATTGGTATTCCGTTTCGAACAACTAACTGACTTAGTGTTGTAATGTTGAGTGTAATAGAGAGAAAGAAAGAGGGTAACAGACAAAGTGATTTCTTTCTCTCTGTATCTCTCCCTCTCCCTCTCTCTCTCTCTCTCTCTCTCTTACCCTCTTTCTTTCTTTACTTATTGTAAAACTCGAAAAGTGTGATGGAGATGATGATATCATCTTTGAATATAAATTGGGACATGATGAGATATCAATCTATTGTAACTTTTTTATATTTATTTATAACAATAATAATGAGAAAAACAAAAACAAATATTAGAATGATATGTGAGAGAATTCATTCTTCACTATCGCAGTCTTGTGACCAGTAGAAATCGGCTACATCCTAGTAAATAGAAAGAAGAGAGAATTGAGTTATTGGCAGAATATATGATGAACCTGAGTTATTAATTGTTGATCCACAGCATCATGAACTAGACATGTTGTAGCTAATGAATGACTATCTTTCTCCACAGAATCATTTATTCTATGTTCACGATATATAGTGAATGAGGTATCAAGAAATTTGCAATCACTATCTGTAACAAATATATTTTTCATGTTTTTCAATATCATTAATCTATAGAAATTACTTTCGATTGCATGCGAAGGAACAGCCTTCCGCGTTCTCTTCTTAAAACATGTAGCACCGGCAATTAAAATGATGGAGATAAATAAAATTGTTGAAAAAAAGCTAATAAAGCTTTCACAGCTCATCAATCCACAACTTTGCTCTTTCTCTTTGACTCCTAATGGAAAGATGAATTAAAGAAATAATTGAAAACGTTTCAAACTTGTATTTGCAATTTCAAATGGATGGCTTAAGATGCTCGATCCCGAAATAGTAACAACCCTCATTTGAAAGAGATATGAAGTAAATGGATCCAAATCGTTAAGGGTTATTTCTGATGTGTTTCCTGGCAGAGTTATCTTGAGATATATAGTATGGTTGAAAGAAATCTATTGAATAACTAATGTTACCACATTTTTGGCTGTTTTCGTCGACCAATAACTAAGAATATAACTTTGAGCCTTGTCAGACTCCGTTACAGCCTGTCTTTTCCATTTGATATGGACATCTGTCGAACTCATTCGTCTCACCCATAGAGCCTATTACAGAATGTTGAAATTTACAATCAATATAGTTTTTTTTTACCAATGATTTGAGAGCGTGTGTATCTAACGTCACATGATGGTTTTCCGAACTTATGATAGATGGTCCATTTTCGAATAACAATGCTAAACGGAATCTCTGTCTGCAGATAGTTTTGTAGTTTGCTAGAGATAAATATATGTATTATAAACCTTTTTGTCTCGTTGAAACTCTCAACAGAAATTTTTCTGACATCAGGGCCGAGTAACTTGAACTCTGTCCATGGATTATCGTTTTTCTCTTTATCGCTCTCCACTTGTGTCTCAATTCTATTAATATATGATCTTATACTCATTGGAAAAGTTTTGTAAGATACCTCTGACCAGTCATCAATGACATATCACTCTTTGTTCCTTTCAAGTGCCATTGGAAAACGAGTGAATTGTTTTTTTCGATCCAAACTACAAAGTTCTCAACTACAATGTTGGCTGGGATCACCATTTCCTCCTCTGTCTTGTTGATAACAGGCTCTGGCTCTAATATGACCTACAAATTGTAAACAGCGGTCTATGTTTTTTTGTTTTGTCATGTTCTCTTATGAACAGAGTTATTTACTTTCAAGTATGCTTTAGCACTGTTTTCCAAATTTCCTTCTCCAGTGACAATGCATGTATACCATCCTTCATCACTAGCTTGAACGTTCTTTATGTGCAGAGTATGCGACCCAATGATACTTGCTCGTCCTCCTTTCTCATATACACGTACATATGAACCATCTATGGAACGCAGTTTGTGTGTATTATCATTAATTGAGTTTTCAATTACTTTTTCTCCAATAACGTGACTTCACTCTTGTTGTATTGCATACCAGATAGACGGAATCTCCAACAAGTACCGTACTATTTCGAGGTCCCTATAAGTAGAATGAATTTTTGAGTGCCCATAAGAACTTGAGTGAACTTCTATAATCAAATCCCTCTCATTCAATTTTGTGCTACTTATGAACAAGTTTTGCGAAGTCCCCCTATCCATATCTACTCCATAAATTTCTGCTTCATCCATCGCTGGTCGAGAGATGCACTGAAAAGTGTTCACGAACGTTTTTTGCTTATTCTCTTAATATCTATAACGATGGAAATAGACCTGCACGCTTCCGCTAAAACTTTCGTTTGGTCTTAAAGTTATGGTGATTGGATTAGAAAAAAAGTTTGTTTCCAATGCTATTCCCATAGCTGGCACCATATCCAGCAAGTTGGTTCCATTCACATAAACCATTGGGATCTCAAATTTCATATGACTGGCATTGCAGAACAGCTATGAGATATTGATTTTAAGAGAACATTGGTCTCTGCTTGATTGATTACCTCCCAACTGTTATCGAACGGATTTTCTGTTAAACGCATTTGCACTTTAGTGGGGCGATGAACTATGAGATTGTAGTAGACGATAGGATAAACGTAATCCATTGTTGTATTAGTATTATTGAGGGTTGGAATTCCATGACATGAATACATTCCACTGTCTTCTATAAATACAATCTATAATAGTTGAGTTCGGAAGGTATCCAACCTAATTTTGAATGTCTTATCTCCAAGTTACCCCATAGCAAGTGGAACCGATAGTCTTCATTTGGAGAAATTATTCGTTGTGAATGCATTGTGTGCTTGAATTGATTGAATTGGTCTTTTTGTTTTTGGAAGTGCTATTCAATACCCGAACCCAATGCACTTGCGCATTGGCTATAACACATTCCAATAGTACAGTTTGTCCAGCTACTACATCATAGTCAAGAGGTTTTGCAAAAGTGGACGGTCGCGATGGGTATACCAATTCCGGCTTGTACTCTAAATCTTCATCCAATTCGTTTTCTACATTCTCTTTGTTATCGACATCATTATCGTTCTGATCTCCTACGATAACCTGAAAAAAATTAGGTTTTGTCTTTCTGTTCTCTGTTCAGCTTGACTTACCAAGAGTATGACAGGTTTTTGGGACTTTTTAGTTGATTTTGTATATTCATTCCTGACAACACAGTAATAATTACCCGAATGCTGAGGTTGGACATTTGTAATTTGCATTCCTGTGCTTGTAGTGATGAAAGCATCATCCATAGGTTCTGAAAAAAGATAATTTGCTTATTGACAGCTATTGGGTATTAAAAGGTTGTTTTCACCTTTAAAACATCCCTGTGTTCCTTCTTTCTCAAAACAGAGCTCAGGTGGGCCTGGAATAACATCGGGAATCCCGATACAGGGCAATCTAGCGACTTGTCCTTGACGCGCGCTCACCATCTATTGTTAATACATTCATATGAGGAGGAATAGTAAACATATAAACAAACATATTCAGTTGTTTTATCGAATCGAGTTATTCGAGCTCTTTTCATTTTGCGAGGTGGAGATGCCAATATTGTATCAACTATTTGTTTATTAGATAGTGAGATATTCTTGACAGAAGCTATACATTGGTAATCTCCCTCACTATTTCCTTTACCACCAGACACACTCAATCTGAAGCAAAATGATCATTGTATTGCACATGTGTGTCTTCAATGCTCGTCATTACATATTCTCATGTGTTCTAAAGATTTCAATGTGTCTTGAAACTTTCCAAATTGATTTTCCATCTTTAAGCCAACTGACATTAAAGAGAAATGACTGAAAGACGATTGTGATTGTAAGAATGATTAGATGAAAAAAAAAAAATTTTTTTTTTCAAATTGCCTTACACCACTCCAACCAGCGCTTAGTGTGCATGTTAGATTAGTTGTTTGATTCCTAACTAGATAGGACTGTTCAACAGATATAAATAACGATGGCAAATCAAAGAGTTCTATAAATGATTGTCAATCAATAGATAAATAACATGTGATTAGTCTGACTTGATGGAAGTTCTGCTGGTATAAGTAGAAAATATGTTGTTATAAATAAGATGGATAGAAGACACATCTATAAACACTATATAATAAAAGAATTTCCAAGAAAAAAAACTATTCAATTGATGAAATAATTGGGAGAGAAATAGATTTTTATTCTCATCGATATTCTCATTGATGACTAAACGAATCCATATATATACATGTATACAAATATCTTCTTATAACTTAGCGCACGACCGCCAATTTATCTTTTTATCAATTTCCCATCTCTATCAATGTTGTTTCCATATTTTTGTGTGCGTAAACCAGTTTTTCTCATCTTTACGGATAGAACTGAAAGCATTTTTGATAGCAAGCAAGTTCTGATAGTATACTTTAGATTTAACTATTTCATTTTGCAAAAACATAATATTTCCATTTGATTGCCATTAACCATTTGCCTTGCTATCATATTTATATTTATCTTTTTTATTAGATTTCTATAATATTGGTTGTTATTGAAGATATTTTATCAAATGCTCCCCTGTTATCACAAACGGATATATATTGCTAAAGACTTCTTATCTAGCCAATTGTTCATTTCATTTCTTATTTATTGATTGTTTTTTAAGTTTGTCTCTGTGTGAGCTGTTTGCCAGTGTGTAAAACTCAAGAAACCACTCGCCAATCAATAAAATTGTTGAAAATGTTCTTTATATTTTTCTTTTAAACACATGCCCATATTGCGTATTGCCATGTCATTCAACACTCTTTCGTGTTTGCAGAATGACGGAGAAGAAAGAACAGAAAGTCGGCAGATGGTATTTCGGTGGAGTTGCTTCAGCTGGAGCAGCATGCTGTACTCATCCATTGGATACATTGAAGGTAATGATTGCATAATCATAATATAATAGTTATATCATTTGGTTTGAAGGTGCATCTACAAACACAACAAGGAAAGATTGGTGCCACTGACATGTGTGTCAAAATAGTTAAATCCGATGGATTTTTTGCATTTTATAATGGTTTGTATGAAGAGTGGAGATCAATGACGTTTTATGTTGTTTTCAGGGTTATCTGCCTCTCTTCTCCGTCAATTAACTTATTCGACAACTCGTTTTGGAATGTATGAAACTTTGAAAAAACAATTCCCCTCTGGTAATTTATAGGAAGATATTTATATGAATAGACATATTATTTTCATAGATACTAACTTGCCTTTTTATCAAAAAGCTCTATTGGCTGGAATTTCGGGTTTCTGTGGTGGTTTAGTCGGTACACCAGGTGATCTTGTTAATGTTCGGATGCAAAACGACATAAAAGTGAGACTTCTGAATGGAAAGTTACTAAACAGCCAATGTTTGTTGTAGCTGCCCAAGGAGCAAAGAAGAAATTACAAACATGCTATTCATGGCGTTGCTCAAATCGTTCGTCATGAAGGAGCAGGAAAACTGTTTAACGGTTTGTTGAACATCTGTAATAGTTCATATCTTGTATAGGAGCAACCATGGCCAGCAGTCGTGCTGTTCTTATGACTATCGGACAACTTTCATTCTACGATGAAATCAAACAGAGGCTCATTGAGAGTGGATTAGCCAAGGATAATCTGGGTACACACTTCTTCAGCAGTTTTTGTGCTGTATGGATAATAACTAATTGTTTTCAATCATTTTTCCCTGATTATAGGCCAGTATAGCGACTATGATGACTCAGCCACTTGATGTTATGAAAACAAGAATGATGAATGCGAAACCTGGAGAGTTCAAAGTAAGTGAAAAGTACTCCATATGATAACTAAAAATGTTTTCAGGGAATAGCTGACTGCTTTGTGATAACTGCGAAATCTGGTCCATCATCTTTCTTCAAAGGTTTTATTCCAGCATGGATACGATTAGCTCCACACACTGTTCTTACATTCATATTTTTCGAACAATTGCGCATGCAGTTCGGTTATGTAAAAAACTAGGTTTGTATGTGAATGTTTATTTTTGAAACGTTCCAATCTTGAATAAATAGGATAAAAAAAATAAAAAATATATATAATTTTAGACATATAGTCTCATAAATACTCTTCAACGCGAACAATATGTCAAGGAATAGATAACAACACGTTGGACTATTGGATGAAAACACAGAAATAATCAATACAAATTATTAAAAAAAAACACATTTTTTGTCTTCTTGACTCATACCTGATGGGTTCTCTTATATTCAATGTGCATCCTTTGTTCTAGTTATCTCGAGCAAATGAGCTTCTCAGAAGCCATTCCGGATGCGTTAACTCTGTAATGCTTTTGCCATTGTGCAGCTCAACAGTCGGCATTTCACTATAACTGTGAGCACTGAAGTCTGACGGAGAATAGCTGCGTCGTCGAACTTCCTACAGATGAAAAACTTTATGTTTCCAGATATCTTCATATAAAACTTGCCTTGAACAGACACATGAAAGCAGCGGGTTCAAAATCAAGATATATTTTATGTGCTACCAATTCAGGTCTTTTCACAACGTCTTTCATATCTTCAACTCCATAAACACATGACCAACTGGTGATTTTTCCTGAGAATCGAACTGTATGTGCGGAGAAAACAGAAAACGGCAAACCTCCGCATGGTTTTTGCCATGACCACACTTGATAACGACCAATATAACTGGTTCCAATGTGATTAACACTGAATTCGGTGATAGGTTTCATTGAAAAATGCTTTCGAAGCCACATGACATCACTTGCTTTAAAGGAACCAGGAACATCGAAAGCTAAAAAGGTTCGATCAAGATTATTCGTTTTCTCGATGTTCTTTTTTAGATGCATACTTTGCTGGTTGCCCGCTACCGACGTCCAAAACGACTCATCGGGGACCCAAGTGTTCGATAAATATTTTAATAGTTTCTTGACAGTTCTACTTTGAACCATAAAATTGGCGGCAGCCCTGGGAACCGATACTGACATACTGGACTTGTAAAGCGGAACAGGTGGTGTTATACCCTATATATCAGAAAATATTTGTTGTTAGGAACATGAGATGTGCAACCTCCATATTTTTGTATCTATCTACTTCAAAATCTTCAACATCGGTGTTGATAGATCCGTTTAGTGCTTTGAAGACTCGTACCATCTCAAGATTCGTTCTTAATGGAAGATCAGAGCCCGATAAATACTAGAAAAGAGAGATGAGATCAAGATCTTTTGTCCATTTTAAAATGGAGTGGAAGAATTATTATGGTAATTTTAATTTCGAAAAAACTCACTTGGTAATATTCCCATTTTGTGTCAGATAGAGATAGATAATGAAAACAATTGTAGACGTTCTCCAAAATTCCAAATGTTCCCCAATTAGATGTGGTGCCGACCTAGAAATTTACTTTCCTCTCGACCGAATGGTAGATAAAGCAACTTACAAATGTCGCGATGTTACCAAAACATCGAGGCAACGATGCCATTGCTCGTTTGAATTGCATAGTAGCTGCTTTATCAATAGTTATACAATATTGATTTTGAGGATGATAGAAAATACTTAATTGCATTAAAACCTGTATAAGACAAGTGTAGACTGAGAGAAGAGAGAGAATTCAATCGATTACCTGTACAACATCTTTGTATGTTACCAAGCCATAAGCTAATGGGAAGGAAGCTTCCTCAGCTGACAATGGTTCTTTTTCAAAATGGAAAAATTTAGGAATAATATTACATCTGAATACAAGTGATGACTTGAAGGAAACTGGAAGAGAGAAGACACTTACATATCTTCAGCAGCGTAAAGCTCGGATTCGATCCACGAATAATCAAAGGTCCAATATTTAAATTTCTTATAATCATTTGTGCCATTCAGAACTGGGCCACAATCTAACCTCATGTTCTCTATTAAAGTTCTGGACCGATGGCTTAAAAAGAAAAAAAAAGAAGAATGAGAAGCTAAAAGGCAGATAACTTACACATCGGATATCTCTGGCAAGAATACATAACGCAAAGCTATATAGGAAAAGACTAGTAGATACGAAATAAGTAAGTGATTGTTTGTTAATAAGCTAAATTCTCTTGCCATTTCAGTTATCTATGCTTTGTAAGAGCATATGATGGCGAGAACCGAAACTGTATTGACAGTTAACAGAGAGTTAAGAGGATGAGAATGAATATCAAGAGCGAGGCGAATGAATCCTGAAGACAAAGAAAGTCACAACTTTGATCTAGCAGGCGCCGCTAAATGAGAGAACCACTTTCCCTTTTCCGAATGTAGATTTAATGACAGATTCATCTTCCAAACCTTATATCTAGGTTTATCAAGTAGATAAGCATCAATTTCTGTTTTGAAATTTTCAACACTCTGAGCGAAGGACAGTTCGCCAGTTTATCGAGAAGCGCACAAGATCTGCAAGTACATTTTATGTTGTTTTCGCACGTTCATCTACACATTTCAGATATGGGGAATGAGGAACTCTCGGCTTTCGGAATTTCTCTTTCTTTCGGGCTGATTGTTATCTGAGAGTCAACATTTGTGAAAGAAGAAGCGAAAAAGATCGTTTGAGCCGATGGATTAGCTGAAAAAAAGAAGAAAACATTTTGGATCTGCTCTACTCATCACCTGAAATGTAGATATAGTGAAAGACGTTTAGAGTTGAGTAAACTTCTGACGGAAAGCTAGATAGTTCAAAACCATCCAACCATTTTGATCAGAAAATGTGAACTACTAGAGTTCTCTAAGAAGGTTGCCACTCTCGATGGCTTAACCTACGTGTCGGAGGATAGTTAGATCAGATCAAAATTTTTTCTTCCCTATTCATGCTGATATTAGGCTGATACAATTTCTTCGCTTTTTCTTCATGAATATTGACTTTCGGATTTCAATTGGCCCGAAAAGAAGAGGAATTCCGGAAATTGAGGGTTTCTCTATAGAGGGAGAGGAGAGAGAAGGGGAGGGGAGAGGTGAGGTGAAAAGAGAGATTACAGTTCTTTTCTATATTAATAATATTTTCATTAGTTTGAAAAGTGGGCGTGGCTAAAAATTCTGGATTTTGGTAGGAAAAAAAAAATTCTCCGTACCGTAATAGTAGAGAAACGGAAAGGAAAGAAAGCTAAAAGCTTTCACTGTTAACTGTTATTGGTTGTAACTGAATGATACATATGGTTTAAAATCTTTATTGAATCTAACTCATATTTAATAAACATCTAATTAAAGTCACAGTTGAATATTCTAATTCAAATTATTATTCCGAAATCATTTTGCGAACCATGTACTGAAGAATTCCTCCGTGGCGATAGTAGGCCAGTTCGACGTCGGTATCCAGACGGGACTTCACTTGGAATGTTTTTTGAGTTGAAGTAGTGACAGTAAGGTTCTGTCCTGTCTTCATATCCTCAGGAATAGTGATCCTTCAAAACATTCATTAGTTGTTTCAAAATTCATTCGACTCACGAGAAAGTTTCATGTCCATCCAATTCATGAGAGTCTGCAGTTTCACCCGCTAAGAATTCCAATGGAAGAACCCCCATTCCAACGAGATTGGATCTATGAATACGTTCATATGATTCAGCAATAACCTGATATCATAAACTTTATTTTGATAACCATAAACAGTTCTTACAGCACGAACTCCGAGAAGGTAAGGTCCCTTAGCAGCCCAATCACGAGACGATCCGCTTCCGTATTCTTTACCGGCTAACACGATAACCTATAGTAAGTCTGAATATTAAAGCAAAACAACAATTATATCCTACTTGCTTGCCAATAGTTGAATACTTCTCAGCTGCATCTGAGACGTCCATGACAGATTTGTTTGGAACATAGACAGTTTGTGGTCCAACATTTTGAACCATCTTGTTCACTATTCTTCTGTTAGCGAAAGTTCCTCTCAGCATAACTTCGTGGTTTCCTCTTCTTGAACCATAAGAGTTGAAGTCCTTAGGTTGCACGCCTTGAGCTCCCAAATATCTTGCAGCGGGTGATTTCTTAAAAGAAAGGTTTTCACGTATTAAACACTATGTACCTCAGAGATTGCTCCAGCAGGAGAGATGTGATCAGTTGTGATAGAATCTCCAAGCAAAAGCAAACAGTGAGCTTCAGATACAGATTCTGTAGCTGCTGGTGTGTTTTCCTAAGAAAAAATTTGTATTCGTTTCAGATACTCTTAGGATTACCATCTTTTCGAAGAAAGGAACTTTCTTGATGTAGCTACTGTTGTCGTCCCATGGATAGAGGAGGGAATCGGGGCACTCCAACTGCTTCCATCTGGCAGATCCTTCTTCAATAGTTCCATATACGCTGTTGAAGAACTCTGATTTTATGAAACGGTTTTCGAATTCAGCAATTTCATCTCTAGTTGGCAGCAAGTCGATGGCACGGATGTCTTTTCCGTTTTCCTGGGCTGAAATGAAACTTTTAAGTAAGTATGTTCATTTATACCATACCAACGACTTCGTTCAAATCTGCTTGAACGTTTCCGAGAAGGGAGTATAGAACTACAAGTGGTGGACTGGCCAAGTAGTTGGCGCGGACAGATGGATGAATACGGCCCTCAAAGTTACGATTTCCTGAAAGAACACCAGCAGCTACAATATTGTTCTGAAACATTCTTTGTTAGGAAAGTTATATGGATCTGTTCCATACCTTTTCAATCTCATCAGCAACCTCTTTGTCAATGGGTCCTGAGTTTCCAATGCAAGTCATGCATCCGTAACCAGTGATATGATAGCCGATACTCTCTAAATCGGCCAAAAGCTCAGACGCTTCCAAATATTTAGAGACGACTCCAGAACCAGGTGACAGAGAAGTTTTCACAAACTTTGGTACAGTAAGACCAAGTTTTTTAGCTTTTCTGGCTACAAGTCCAGCAGCCAGCATGACAGTTGGGTTACTGGTGTTGGTGCAAGAAGTAATAGCAGCAATCACAACACTTCCGTGGCTTAGAACTTGTCTGTTTTTTTTGTAGTCAAATTGTTCTACTGACTCGTTGGTCAAACCGAATCCCTGTTCATAATTTCCGTTTGACAGAATGAAAAGAAAAAAGTACCTTGAATGAAACAGGAGCTGTGAGGACTTTCCCGAAGTCTTCTTTCATGTCTTTGAGTTGAACTCTATCTTGAGGGCGTTTGGGACCAGCCAAACTGTTGACGATTTTGCTCATATCGACTTCGATAACCTGAATCTATGCTTAGGAATCACTCGTTTTGTCTTACCTCTGAAAATTGTATTGTTTCTGGTTGTCCGTCATTGCTGAACATGTTGGAGTCCATATATCTGGTAACCAAGTCACAATGCTGATCGTTTCTTCCAGTGTTGCGCAAGAACCTGAAGATATCAATCAGTCAATTCCTTTACATGAAAAACTTACTTCTCGGTATTCTTATCGTAAGGGAAGAAGGAAGCAGTAGCACCATATTCAGGACACATGTTGGAGATGGTAGCTCTGTCGGCAACTGAAAGGTTCTTCACACCCTCTCCATAGAACTCGACGAATTTTCCAACGACACCGTGAGATCTCAAAATCTCAGTGATAGTTAAAACTAAATCAGTAGCAGTTGTTTGCTGTGGAAGTTCTCCAGTGAGGTGAACTCCAACAACCTTTGGAAGTACCTAAATCAAGTTATTATATCAACCCCCGTTTACTACTTCATCAAGTCACCATGGAAATAGCTTGCCCGAGCATAACAGCTTCGGCTTCGATTCCTCCTACTCCCCATCCTAAAATACCGGCTCCACAGATCATGGTAGTGTGAGAATCGGTTCCAACACATGAATCAGGGTAGACAACACCTTCCTGAACTGGGTTTTCAAAACAGTCAACCACTGCTAAACCCACATTGTCAACCATTATGTGTCTCGCGAGATATTCCAAGTTCACTTGATGAACGATACCAGAACCAGGAGGAATAATTCTAAGGTTGTTGAAGCTGCGAGATCCCCACTGAGTATCGGTTTGAATTATTATAGAGATTAGAAATCAATTACCTTCAAGAAGTTGAATCTTTCTGAATTTCTTTCAAACTCGAGTTCCTCGTTTTGAGCTCTGGCATTCTTGCTAAATAGGTTTAAGTCATGGATGCTCCCAAAGAGCCTAACTTACTTTCCTGAGAAATCAACTTGAACAGAATGATCGATAACAAGATCAACTGGGCAGATAGGATTGACCTTGGAAGGGTCACCTTTCAGATCAGCAACGGCGTCTCTCATGGCAGCTAAATCTACAACTGCTGGTACACCACTATAAATGTAGATTGATTAGAGTTATTCAAACTATCCTGTACGTGAAATCCTGCAAAAGAACACGAGCTGGCTTGTATGGAATTTCAGAGTTGGTATGTTGAGTTTGATTCCAGTTGAGAATGGTTTCAACATCTTCGACTTTAACGTGGAAGTTATCACAGTTACGGATGGCAGACTCTAACAAGACCCTGATACTATAGGGGAGACGAGCTGTAAAAGCAAAACTTAAATATTACTCGACTGAAAGAAAACTGACCGACTCTCTCATCATTCAACTTGTTAAGATCGTAGAAGTTGTAAACCTTGTCGTCCACAGTAAGAGAGGTTGCGATATGCTTGTAAGGTGAATCGTGAACCATCCTAAAAGCAAAATGAGAAACACTGAACTAATTAATCATAAAAATAAAAAGACACACAAGTTGTTTCAACAACTTGATCCAGCTAATCATATTCGATTAGCAAACACATACAGATGATGTACACGTGGAAATCAAAAGACTACAAAATAACGCGCAATCCTCTACTATGTTCCAAATAGTACAGTTTCGTCAATGAAACTTTTCGAGGCCACGCCTTGATAGATAAGATACGAGGACTGGAACTATTGAGGCCATGACCGTTGAGAGAAATAAAATCATTCGATTTCGGAACAAAACGCTTTTGTTAGCATGCAGGTGTGCTAAAGTTCAGATGAACGTAACACGGATAGGATTCTATTGCAATCACGCCACATTTAATTTGATAACAGACAATTTCATAATGTAAAAAGGAAATTGATAAAAATTCATTGAATGTTAATGTTTCTAGTCAGTTTCAATTGCTCTCAGCCATATCAGTCTGTCAACAAAAGTGAATCAAAAAATTTGTTCGACTATAAGTATTGTTTGATTCTGATAACATGGTTGAGAGCTGACAAGAAACTTCACAGATCAAACAAAATCACAGCTCGATTTCAACAGACATAAACTGTTATACAGCTATCATCGAGAATAAAAACCATGAGAACTCAGAAAATACAACATCTATTCAATTCATGCACCCAATCATGTATTGCTTATCACAATAACAATTGTTTTGTTTATGTTTATCATTCTGACTGTGACTTCCAGTCATTATCCCGCCATTTTTGACCTAATACCGTATTGTTTCTAGTTTGTGACCTTCACGCTACGCAGACGTGCCGCGCCTTGCACAACAATGAAATATTATTTGTTATATCTCTGATAAGAGATAAACTACATGGATCTTCTCAAAAACAGAAAAAAATTTTATTTTTTTATGTTTGTTGTCCCAAATAGTTATTTTGCCTATTAAGCATCCACAAAAACCAAGTATTTTCATTGTCAATCTCTTGTTTGTCGTTTGAGCACTTTTCATTCCATCCTTCCATCTCAATTTTCCATTTATATCGTTAAGACTTCTGTGAATCCATCCATCTGGTCCAAAAAAAAAGAAAAATGGAAGAAACAGGTATTCGACTGCAAAATAGGTTTATTTTACAACTTCTATTCTGAACAAGACACTATTTTCGTAATAAACGTGAAGATTACGAAAATAGAACATTCACGATACTAAAAAGAGATTGAAAGAAATGAGGAATTTATACGTCATTATGGAAGACGAATTTTTTCAAGTATTTCTATGATTGTTCGGGGGCTTTGAACGAGCTTATTATGATAATCTGTTGCAGATGGAATAAGACATTCCAAGAAGAAGTCATAACATGCATTTGAGGCTTGGCTTTCAATCAAATTTCCATTTCGAACATCTGATGAGAGCATTCTTCCGTTCTTGATTGGTTGGGGGTAATGAGCCATTCTCTCAAAGTATTTAGCTTGCTTCTTTCGATTTGCAGAATTGATATGATTCTCTCTCTGATTTCTCAAGACCTAGGAAAAGGAAGTAGAGATTAGCAAAGAGGAAGTAAACCTTTGTGCATTGAGTATCATTCAACAGCAACATCAGATTATCCGAGCATTTAGACTTTGTTTTTTTCAATTTTCGCCATGAATCCATTCTTAAAGTTAAGAATGTTGTTTTGATTGATACTGTTGAAATTACCTGCTAGTGGGAGATTCATCATATGAAAAGCATTCAACATCTGAAAGTGCAAATGTTTACTGTAACATATACACCAAACCTTTTTCAACAGATATAGGCTGACCATTAACATTCAAAAACTCGAGTTGAGGCAATATAAAGCTGAAAAACAAGAGACTTAGAAAAGGTATTAGATAGATAAGGTATACCATGGATTGCCATTGTTACCATTTGGCAAATGCTCCAAAGGGTTCTTTCCTAGATTCTCGAAAAATTGAATTCTATTTTTGACAAGTTGAGAGAGTACTTCAAGAGATTCGTTTCCCATATCTTTCTAAAATCTATAATTGTAATGAGTAGGGAGAGGAATGAGGAAATGTGTGCAAATGGGCAGAGTAAGGCCTCCATTGCTGCTAATTTTTTTATAAAATATAATCGTGGGCAGATGAGCTCCACCTAATCGCCATGACGTTCTATCCCACAATCCGGAATATCCTCGGATAATTTCTTCCGGTTACGCAAAAAGAAATTGTTTATTAGTTTGACTATTCATCAGGAGTTGCAAGAATGATAGTATAGCATAGAAATAAAAAATGAACAATGATCAAACACAACCTCCCTCCCCCCCTCCATGAGAGTTTATTGGAGCTTTACCTGATTGACAGTAATAAAGATCTTTTAGCAGATACTTTCAGAACAGACCCAAGAATGGTGAAACAAGGATTATTAAAGAAACTCACTCTGCCACACCCACGTGATTCTCGAATAATCCTACAATCTTTTCCCACACCCTTTCAAGATCTGGAAAGGATCAGTCTAATATTTTCAACCGACTGAACTTTCGAACCCACTGGAACTGAACGATAAATATAAAAATAATTATTTGCTAACGGATCGGTTGAAAAAGAATTATTATAAATGTTTTTCCCTCAGAATTCCTGTTGAGCCCAGATCACTTGTCCGCTTTTGTTCCTCTTTACTCCGTTGCTCATTACTCTTATCAATAAGATTAGTGAGTTGAGACCAATGAGATTATTTACACAAATGAAAACGTTCAAATTTATGCAAGATTTTCTGATCAAATCTGAATTGCGAATATACATTAGTTGCACCATTATAACAATGCAGAAAAATGTCGACTTATCACCAATCAAAGTTATCAAAGACTGGTCTGTCGAGTCTGTTGTGGGTAACGAGTCTGGGGCTATTATCCGTGTAAAATTGAGAATACCATCTGAAAATGACATCATTTTTGAGAATCTATGTTATGGAGACCTTCTATGCTTCTTGATCGGACCATCGTTTCTAACCACTAATGGTTCTTTGACATACTGTTTGTTATTCCATATATAGATGTCTCTTTCAAACTATAACCCAGTAAATTTTCAGTATTATACGGTTTTTCTCAAAAACCTGTATAGCCTCACTGATTATGAAGAACTTGTTGTACCATCTTGGACAGTTCGAAAACATGTTGAATCGAACTCTTTGAAGAAGTGGCTCTTCAGGAGTAACATGCTGCAGAACACATCCTTTTCCGATAATTCCAAAATCGAAATACATCAATACTATTCCCGGACCATGCTGAGATTTGAAACAGGTTTGTAAAACATCCAACGAATCTACCTGTTCTGCTCGCAGATAGCTGTCAGTAAATGGCAACTTGAAACGACTGAACAAAACTAAATATTGTTCTAAAATCATTGTTCCTATATGTTTTTCTTTGCCAACTCCTTCAGTCCAACTTCCATTCCAAGCATGAGATATTCTAGGTTTCATATCATCAAGACTGATACGTGTAATATCAGATCCTATCAAGTGTATTAAGTAATGATTCGATTTCATTATGAGCGACTACCTTGATCAGGTGCAGAGAAGTGAAGATAGTTCAAATGAGCTATATCCGCCCCATTCTCAGGAATTTCTTGAGCATGACATTGAATCTTAAGAGCGATGTTCTCTGTCATTCTATCTCGCAGAATTAAATACCTCATGCTCAGTCCGTCCTCCATATGTCCAGCTTTTTCCTATTTCTTCAATGTCAGGGACTTGCCATTCAGGTTCTTCACCATCTGAGTGATACCTAAACATTTAGTTTGAACGAGAAAGAAGTAATAAAAAGTTAACCAGCAGTATATATTCTTATTCTTCTCAACGACAGGGAATGTCTGAACCTGAGCCTGTGGTGGTATAGTGCCGTCATCATATGGGATTTTAACGCATTTTCCAGTCTCGGCAGAAAATATCCAACCGTGGAATGGACATTGAACACAGTTATCGTTTACTACCTGAAATAGTCAGATAGAACTATGTGACACTGTACAACCAACCCTTCCTCCAACATTAAAGTTGGCTCCTAAGTGAGGGCAATAGGATTCCATCAAGTGAACTTTGCCTTTTTCCGATCGCACCAAAGACATAATAGTTCCAAAAACCGGCACCTCCTTTATTTGCTTCGGTTTCAACGTCGAAGATTCAGAAATGCAATACCACCCATTTGGAAATACTGGTGGCAGATCGCCAGCTTTGCGCATTCGTTGAATTTTCTTAACATAAAATGCTCTTTCTGCACCAGTTTTCTAGAACATGTTTATATTACTCAAATAGCATGATGACTGCTCACAGCATTCTTAAAATTATAACCAAGATTATCAGTTGTCCTTATCCTATTAACTGGTATGGTAATTATCCAATATACTCCATAAACTATGATAGGAATGACAATAGGTAATAGTTTCGTGAAGTCATCTGGCTGTAATAACATGATAAATCAAATATAACATTGAAAAGCTTACTATTGCAATGTCCATAAGCATGTCTACTAACATTGAGTTAAGAAGAGTGCAAAGAATGGAGAAAAAATGAGAAGAAAGTTCAACTTTCTACGGAAGACAAACAGAACAGAAGGCCATAAATCAGTATCTCCAACAAGCTCTATTGTCGATAAGAACGACAGAATATAATATGTATTCAACTGCAATAGAATCAACTGGAAATATTTCTATATGATAACACTTATTTATATAATCAATACGAGTTTTGTAAGAACCGATTCAAAAAATCTTAATAAAAACTGTTTAACTAATTTGTTCGAATTAACAACACACATAACAAGCGGATATTCAATAGATTATAAGTATAAAGATTGACTTCCGACCTCATTATCATTATTTTCATCAAACAAAATGATTGATAACCCTTGTTTTCACATCTATGGAATGATATACGCTCATACATGCTATATAACATAACTTTCTTAAAATTCAGGAACATTCTGAAATCAAGAGGTAATGGTCTTCCGTATAACTGTACAGACGGCAATATATACTTTCTCATATCTATCAATACTTCATTCAATGCCCTTTTTTCTTTATTCTGATAAAGAAGAATATCTAAACCTAGCATCAATCATCTTCATCATCATCTCATGCATGGGATGTGGTATCATGTGCTGATGGAGTTCTGTCTTTCGATAGTTGTACTGTCTTATCTCTCTTCCTTCTTGGCCTTGTATTTCTAGCTTTCCCTCTATTAACTGAAATTTTATTTTACACTTAAAAAAGAGAGATGTTTCAAAGAAAAACTAGATAGTTTGCTGGGTCTCGTGTTCTTCCAAGTTAAATGAGAGAGACTGGGCAAGTTGTCCAATCTGCTTCATTCCTTCAATCTGCAAAATATAGAAAAAAATAATAAAAAAATTGAGGAAATTGATTCACTGAGGAAATTATACACCCACCTACTCATTTTATGTCTTCCTTTCCGATAATCATATTCCTGTTCATTTTTAATATTTTCACCTAATTGATCAAAGAGCAGCCAGTTAACAATGCATTTGTCCTAAAACTTCCTTCTGAAAATACTCAGAAAATATAATGATTAAGTGAAAGTTTCGAGTACCTTTATTCTTCGTGACAAAAATATGTTGAATTAACAGAAGAAGCATACATAACTGGTGGAGAAAATGACTACGCCGTTTCCGAAACTGAAAAAAATATTTCTTGATAATCTAGATACTTGTAACTGGAGAGAACGGATAAGGTCAAAGCAAATGGAAAAATGGAATTAGGTAAAACTATGGCAACAAAAAAATAAATAAAAACTGAATCTTTTCTCATTGTCTGATCATAACAATGATAATCAACGCCATTCCGAATGGTACTATGAACTGCGTACTTTTTCAAAAAAAATACATTTTTATGGCAATTTTGATTCAAAAGGATTACGGTAAACGTATTGAGGATGTCATCGTTTCACCAATACATATAAGAATAAACATATCTTTTCAAATCAATTTCATTCAAACTATTTAGTGTACAAGCAAGTTTTACTTCATAATACTATCAAACGTTCAACTTTTGAAGACTTTACAAGTGAATTCAGTTTTCTCTCCCATTGTTCTGAGATCTATTTGTATCTATACATAGAGAGAGAGAGAGAGAGTGACTTAGAGTGTAAAATCGTTTTTTAAGATACATGTGTTATATGAGATAAGCTCTTACTATTTAAACTGGGAGATACTAAGTATAGGATGTCATATTTAGATTCTAGAAAGTGTTAACATGGATCATGTCATCATTTTCCTCTTTTTAAATATCTTCTAGATAGTTGTTAAGAAAAATGATGAAATTGACAATAAAATCATATGAGCAAATAGACATGTTCGTAACAATACATGTTACATACATGTTAACCGTATATCAAATATATAAGAATTATATCACAAAATGAGATAGACCAATGAAATATATGTTCATCCTAGCTATAGAAACTGAATATGAATTTGATCGTCAGAATGAGCACATTGACCATTTCCTGGTAGATATGAGATCTTTATTTCTCCCGTATTCTAAAATTTGAAAATTATATAAATATGTTATCATTATTATTATTTTATACCACTGTACAGCCATCTGATAGAGATTTTCGAGATTTTTCAATTGCTTTTGACCTTCTAAATTGATAAATCTATAAATAAAAGAAAATTATTGTGTTTAATCTCATAGTTTTACTTCTAATCGAGATCCTGGATATAGTTTACGAGGCTTTTCACATTCTCCCATTGTTGATGAAGGAGGGAGTTGAACTAGTACTGGACAACACGAATAATTCTTTAACCATACATTGTCATTCACTCCTAGGAATATGCATAATCCACAAACTCCTTTCCTTAAACGAAAAAAATTATAAATTCATTCGTTTCTGCCTGACCATCGACATGAAACAGATGATTTCTCAGATGCTGAATGAAGTCTAGTAAATGACACTCCGACAAACATGGCATTATAAAAAGCCTGAAATTGATCTTTTTTTCTAATATACTCATTGTCTCATCCACTTCTTTCTGTTCAGTGACGTTTCCGTTTTGTAAATATTTGAAAATCGCCCATTCGTCTTCTGGAACTCTCTGATTAGTCATCGTTTGAATTTGTTCTCTTACGAAAGTATACATTTTTTCCTTTTCGATCCTTCTTCAAATGTATATACTTCAACTGAAATAGTTTCGTTATCTTCTCACACTTTTCTCCATCTTTCTACCTCTTTTGATATTCTCGGAGGCAAATGAATGTTCCACATACGAGCGTTCTCGTTTTCCTCTTTCAATTTTAGAGTTGTCCCATTTGCAACCTATACTTGATTCTATAATCATTACTTTTTTTTCAATAGTTACCTTTCGTTCTCCTTGCCATCTTTTTTTCAAAGATTCATTTATGATGTGCAGCTCTATTCGGAACCAATCTCTCCTTTCCACAAAGTTATCAGATTCATAACCTACTAAAAATTCAAAAAGGTAATGAGGAAAAAATATATCTTACAATAATTTGTCCTCTTCTTCATCAATAATTCTGAATTCCTTTGTGGGTTCTAGAAAGTTAATGTAAGAATAATAGTGAATGATGTCCTCTATCTTTCATATACCTGAGAAGTGAACAATAAAACATCAGAATGATTATTGAGAAAATCTAAGAATGCATTGCCTGTTTTCCCACCAGGTTTCGGCAAGATGTTTTGTTCTCGCAATGCTCGAAGGTTGTTAGAGAAACAGGAGAGAGCTAACATGTTCTTTTCCATTTGTGTTATATCATAGTTCTCAACAGCTAGAAACACATTTTGATACTTCAAATAATCAATATCTTATACTTACGTTCAATAACTACAGTATCAGATATGTTAGCAATTTCCATATCTCTTTGGGAGTTCATGTTAGGAGAGAAGTGAGAATTTTGAATATCAGAACGCTGTTGTGAATTCATCTGGGTTAGCATCTGTTGTGTATGTCGTTCTGTATGGCTCGAGGTAGGCTTGGAGTCAGAGAAAGTGGGGTAGGAACAAGGTCGCGCTCTTTCTTCACCCGGAACAACAACATCATTTTCAAGCACCTGTGTTTGGAGAATTGTATTGTATGATTCGATGCCAGGAATGTATTTTGACGTTCGATTGCTAAACGTTACCAGCCGTCTGTTCTTTCTTAGTGAATTCAGAGGAAGTCTCGAGAACTTTCCGTACGTTCTCTTACGAAGTTTTCTGAAGAGCTTCACTGTCTTAGTTTTTCTCCTTCTTTTAGAGCGTTTGCATTTGCTATCTTTCCGTTCCGTTTCAGTTTCCTCTGTTATACGAATAACTCTCTCCGAAGGAAACTCAGAAATGGGTCCTTCATTAGGAAATTGTACTGTAGATCCTTCGTCAACATTTCCAGTAGTCCATAGAATGGAATAGACCAAAGAAATAGCCTTTTCACATGTTTGTTCTAATTGATTCTTCATGAAGCTATCTGGCTTCTTCTCTGCTGAAAACAATTCAAATAGAAAGTTTATGAAGAAAATGGTGCTCACCTTTTTCTTTGTTTGCTTCCTCATCTAGATCTTTGAAGTCCTTCTGCTGTTTCACCGCCTCACTTGATTTCTCTTGCTTCTCCTCATGTGTTTCATTTAGATCACTCTCAGTTGGTCCCATGCATACCAAGTTCTTGACAGTTAGCTCTGGATCACTCGAAGCCAGATGATTGTATTTCAATAAACTTGTTGTTTCTTCAAGAGAAGTTGGCATAAGTCTCTCTCTCGTAAATATGTCCTCGACACTTGTTTTTCTTGCGAGGTGAGAGACGGATGAATCAAATGTTGACAAGTTTAGAGTGGATGTATCATCTATATATAAGTTTGGCAAGGAAGTATTGATTTCTGGCTTGTTTCCAGTTATGCTAGTGAAAGCAGATAGAGAAAGTGCACTAAGATCTTTGCTCGGTACTACTGGGATAACCGGATCGAACTGATGAAAGTTTGGCTTTGTAACAGCTGATGCCGTTGCACTCATCATGTTTGTTGATGAAGCATAATTAGGAAGAAATAAACCAAGATTAGAATATGATTCTAAGTCAGTGTTCTTAAGAGGTTCAGCTAACTTTTTCAAATTTGACTCTCTTGTGCTCTCTTCCGCGAGGCTTAACAGCTCATTATCGAAAGATACTGATGGCTTCATGTTAGCGAAAGCGTTCGGATAAGTGCTATCAATATCATAGCGGTTAGAGAGGTTGGTGTATGTGAGCTGATTTTTAGGATTCATACTTATATAACTGTTAATAGATGGCTGTTCAAATAACGTCTGAAATAATAGAAACCTTAAAACTATAAAATAACTAATGCTTACCGGAGGTTCGACTGTTGAAGTTATATGATCAGTTGTGAAAACAGGTGGCTTAATTGCTGGTTTCATACTTTCTCTTAGCTTTGAAACTTCTTTCTGAAAATGATAAGAAGAAAATATGAAGATGAATGTATCAGGTAGACCTCTTTCTGTTTTTCAGCTGACATACTCTGAAAGTGTATGCTTGTGACAATCTTTTCATAATGCCAGGGGTTTACGCAAACATACTATAAACCAAAATTATTCAATGACATAAAATGTGTTTTTTAGTATTACCTGCTCCTGTTTCATATCATATGCACATTGACATATGGGCAGATGTCGTAAATCTGTTTTTTTCGCTTCAGAATTACGAAAAATCTTCACATATGTCAGATGTGGCAATCCTTTTCTACTTGCAACCTGTTGTTGAACGAAAGTGAAATAGACAACATTGAATTATGAACTCACTTGTAACCTTCCATCTAATGTTCTACCTATTGGAATACATGAATCAGCATCTTTACCATCTGTCGCAACTGCTTGTATAAGAATTCTCAAAAGGCTGTCTGTATTTTTATCTTTCAGTTTCTTAACTAATGATTCACATGCTTTTCGTGAAAAATCAGCATCTTCCAAATCCTATTAGACAATAAGTTTATTTGAATTCATCTCATGAAACTTACTTTATTAAAAAGCATCAACCAGCTTGATATATAGGATGTTGTATCACGTGCTGATGGAATTTTGTCTTTTGATACTTGTACATTCTTATCTCTCTTCCTTCTCGGCCTTGTATTTCTAGCTTTTCCTCTATTAATTGAACTTTCATCATTCATTCCAGCTGCTCTTTTCATTATATCAGATTCACCCGTATATTGTACAACATTATTGTCTGCTAAAAAGAAAGAAAAGACAGTCAATGAGTGTTGAATGAATCTAACATTCATGTTTAATCTCATGTTCCTTGGGTATCGTTACTGTTCTGTTCATCCTTCTTATTCTTTAGCTAACTAGTTTTACTTCTGAAATAGCATCAACTGAATCATGAAATCAAGAAGTTATACGATAAAACACAAACATATATATATATATATATATGTGAAACAAGTGTGAAAAAGAAAAAAAAAAGTTTTTAGAGACACACGCTCAATATGGTCAGAGGGGTGGAAAGATAACCTGGACCCCCGATTGCAATTGATAGTTGTTCAATAGACTGCTAACAGTTATTGATGATCGCACTAAGCCTTCAGCAAACGAAAAATAGAAAAAATCATTTAAGAAAATTTTTTTTGAAAAATCGTTTCTTTCTCACACCCTCTCACTTCTTTTCTCTTTCTCTCTTTCTCTCTCTCTTTTGCTTTTTCTATCTTTCTCTCTCTCCTTATGTTGTTCGCAGTTGTTTATGCCGATGAAGTATGCAATCAATTGAAAATACAACAACAATATGAGAACATGCATAGTCTTTTCTATTATCTTTCGCTTCATCATTCAAATTACAAGGAATGCGACAGCAAGGCGAGACGGAAGGTTAAAAAAATATAAAAAATTTTTTTTTTATTTCAGTTCTCGAACAAGATGTTTATCCGACACAGAATCATTTTCGCTGTTCTGTAGAAGACGAAATAGATATTGACAGTGCTTCTATATGACTTTAACTAATTGGTGACACATTTCATGTCATATCCTCCACTTTACCCTTCCCTTATGTCAACAGGCGTTCAATGGAAATGAAATATGAAGACATGTCAAACATCACATTCTTTCTATATTAAAATGCAAATGTCCAAATTATAATAATAATTATGATAAAAAGAAAAGGGGAGTGTGAGAGTGACAGGACGAGAGAAAGAGAGAGAGTGCTTGGTGCCTGCAAAACTAAAACTCGTCGCCTATCCTTATAATTATTATTAATTACTCAAATCAATATACATCTAGAAGTTCATCATAGTATATGGAAAAAAAAGGAATACGATGTTTGATGATGACATATCTTCATTTTCATCACTTTGCTCCGAATAGTGAGCAGAATAGACATCATGTTCAACTGGAATGAGGTGACGATGGTGGAAGATCAATGATGAATAATGATATTCAAGATAGATTCATCTATTCATTTGATAAATATATATTTCAAGTTATAAACTTCAAAAACTTAAACAAGACTTCATTGAGTGCAACTTATCAATATGTGTTGCCGTATATGACACAAAAGCCAAACAGCTAGTCCTTAGTCAATATCTCTGCTAATAAATTGCAATGAGTGAAAGGAAGTTGAAAGAACAGAGGTATCAAGAGAGAAAGAGGTATCAGGTCGCTAGAATGGACAGAAATGGAAGTGAATCGAAGCCAGATTAGCACAGAAATTGTATTTTTAACTAAAAAACTGCTATATTTCAGATATATTATTGCAGAAATCAAAGATATTATGACCAGAAAGCATATTTTTCTATTTGAATATTCTATGTACATATATGGTTATGGGAAAATGATGAATATTTTAAAAAAATGGAACATTTGACTGCTATTATACTATACTCTAACATAACAAATCTAATTTAGCTATACGTTATAAAGTTAACTAATCTATATCTTTCACTCTTCATATTTATACTATGCAATTTGTGAATCCCGCGCATTGTAACGATGTGACCTCTCCGATTCGACCTTTTGATATATTCTTTGTTTGATTTGCGGGTCTGATCACTCTCTACAGCAGGTCAAGGGTCGTCACCAACAGCAGCGTGCTATTGGCTAATCGTCCAAAAACAGCAGCGTGCTACTAGCTAATCGTCCTAAAACAGCAGCGTGCTATTGGCTATTAGTCGAACCATCTGTTTCATTATCTTTTCTAGTTGTGCTTAATTAATATTCATACAATAGTCATACAAGACCTATCTATATCCATATAATATTCAGCAATAACTTATATATTCTGTTTGATTGCTGATCCTACCAGACGACGACATATAAAAGGATGTCCGCCGATGCTGACGCATTGTTTAATCAAGCATTAGAAGAATTAGAAAGGACATTCCGGAATTCAAGTCAGTTTTAAACATATTTCTATTAATGTCCTTTATTTCACTTCTCTTCTATTTTGCAAAAATCGATTTTCAAAATCGTTTCAGAGCGTCGTAGTGGCTCATCGAACCAGTTTTTTCCTCATCAAAAAAATGAAGAGACGGCTATAATGAATTCGCAGGTATTATAAATCATTTCAAAAATCCATTCAAAGCTATTTGTTATAGAGTAATTACTTTCCTAGTTCTAGCAGTAATGCTAGTTATTCCGATAATTATCATTCCGATATTGGAAATATAGCATCACGAAGAGAAACCCTTTGGGCACAAGTATTCTATTCTATTCTACCATTTCTCAAATTCATTAATATTGCAGATTGTTGACAGTGAGAAAACAGATGAGATATTGAGATTTAAACTCGACCATCTGAGGAGGGAAATGATCAAAAACAAAAAAGAAATAGAAGAGATCAAGCAGTCTATTGATATGGTTTGTCTCAAGCCATCTGTTCAAAATGCTTTCTGTTTTCTCTTTCAGCACAGTTCGTATAGCGATTTGCAATCATGGCAAATACAGTTACTATCAGAAGTTTCCAGTATGAATCTATCCTATGCGCATTTAGAAAGAGAACGTCTAATCAATCAAGATAAATTAAGAGGACTAAAGGTTTATCAAAATCTCATTATAAGATATTGAACTGTGTTGTTTCTCAGATGAAATACAATGCGTTAGCAGAAGATTCTTCTGAATCTGACCGGAACTCTGCTGATACTCAAAAAATTGTTTCTGCTCATTATCAAAGAAGCTATCAGGATTCTCCAGATTCAGTTCGATTACCTTTAGCCCTTTTAAAACCATCTATCAAGGATAATAATGAGAATAGTAAACCATTTAGTAGTAAACGATCTCAAAGTGAACCTGATCTAGGTATATTACAATCAATAGTATACATCTTATCATTTCATTAGGTAAAATGGAAGAATGTTCACCAAAAACAGATGGAGAAGCAAAGAATCGTTGTTATACAAAAGATGAAGTTCGTTTACTGAAGAGAGAACTATCATGCCTGATGGTTAATAAGATGAGAACATCACTTCATAGAAAGTCAATAGATACTCAATCAGAAATATCAGAAAGGTTATAATATATAATGAAAAAATATTCATCTCAATCTCTTTATAGTACTGCTACATCACCTCTATGCAATCTCAAAGATATAGTTTCTCATCCAAAATTATCTGAATTTCTCAAGTTCAGGTAAGTCAATGGATTGTTTATCACAAAATAATATTTGTTAGTATACCGGATATCATTCAATGGATGAAAATCATTGGATTTGAATCATATGCTCATAAAGTAAATCATCATATACGAGGCCCTCAACACTTGCTCAACTTAACATCAGCAGAGTTAGAAAAAGTTATTAATCAGCTTAATTATCCATTTATATTTATCTTATTCAAGATGTTATCAATGCGCAATAGCTTACATCGCAAGCGTTTCCTCATTTTACTCGAAAGCGTGCATCGCAATGAAAAACCCATCAATCATCAATTTGATGTTTATGCCACATTGAACTGGTTGGAACTGATTGGACTGCCTCAATATAAAACAAACATAATGGAGAATATGATTGATGGCACTCTACTCACATATCTCACTGGATATGATCTTCGAGAAGTAGGAAATGAAAATATAAAAAGCATAACAATCAATATCATTCTACAGATTGGAGTTCGTAATGCTTTGCACTTCTTAGCCATAAAATGGAGTTTAAATCGACTTTATGCAAACAACTTCTCATTAGATTGCTTTTCTAAATCAGTAAGTCCAATCTAAGCGCAATTTTTTACTACATGTGTTCTAGTTAACCTCTGCTCATGATGATATATCATCATGGAGTCATTCATCTACATGTGAATGGATATCATCCCTTGACTTAAAAGATTTTATGCCCAATCTATTCGGTTATGGTTGTCCCGGTGTTCTTATGGTATTTCTATAATCTCTGAGTCACAATCTTATATATGATTATGTTATTAAGATATCAGAGCCATTATTCACAGCTGAGTCATTAGCTGACATTCTCAAAATTCCATCATCGAAGACACTCCTTCGACGTCATCTAACAATTCATTTTAATAAAATGGTTGGCTCATCAGTTGTATCAGATAAAAGGGAGTACCTGATATCTCGTAAAAATCATATAGTAACAACTGATTGTCAAATAAAGGTGAGATGAACCACCTTGTTTATATCATATAGTTATCAAAACCATTATAGGACATAAAAAAGCGTTTACCATTCAATCTCGCAAGCAAAAAATACATATTCACGGATTTAAATGCTCGTTTAATCGTTTAATAATGAAGAAGATATGATTCTGTTCAATAAACATTAATTTGCTATCACCTTTTCTTTCTTATGACACGAAAATACAAATGATAAGCAAGTAATTCGTATACAGATGATTCATGTAAATGAAGTAGTGGCACAGCATATATTAATGGATGAAATGATTTCTCTTCATCAGATGAGACTAACTGTTATCAGGGCCCTCCCAAATTACTTTAGAGGCTATCGTTCTCATTTAACTGCTATGCTTTATAATAATCAAAAATTATGTTATTGCTTCATTTAAATGACAATCTATTCAAGCATTTCATCTCTCTATCTTCCTCTCTCTCCCTCTCTCTCTCTCTTCATATCTTTGATTACTCTTACGCACATGATAGAGTGATCAAGATACAATGTAAAATTCTTAACGTACAAATGAGCCAAAAAGAGCATTTTATAGGCATCGATATAACATAATTATTAAGAAAATAAAAGATTTTATGTTGCATCGCCCGTAATAACAGTTAAAACTAAGTAATTATTATTTTAATGGATCACAAATTGGTGATAAACCCTATAGTAATATCAATTAATAGAGATATTCAACCATTATCAAGCTCTTCAGTTCATTTTTCATTTCTATAACTTGCTCATCTAACTCATTATGCTATATTATAATATATTGTATAATAGCATATTATAGATTATATCCTAACTATGTGTATATCAACAGCAGGACAGATCGTTTATGGTCTGGTTATGCTAGCATGCCTTGTCTTGACTGCTGTTGCTTTATTCACTCCAGGTATGGAGATGATATATTCGTACAGTCATACATTACATCTTAGGCTGGACACAAGTTAAAGGAGCACCAAAAGCTGATGTTTTCAGCAAGAGTGAAGGAATTATGCCATGGTCATGTGCCAAAAGATGGAAAAATTCTGATTGCAGCGAATGGTGGAAGGTGAATCTCAAAAATATTTCTCAAACCTTGGAAATAACAGCATGCAATTTGATATTGAAATCCAAATATATTCATAAACGTTGAATGACTGTTATAGGATACACCCAGCTGGCAACATATAGTTATCGTTTGTATGTGGATGGCTTTAATTATAGAGGCTTTTTGTCTAGCATGGAATCTTATAGCGCTGTATGATCTAGATTATGAAAACAAGATTCATATTCAAATTTTATAGATTATCTTGTTGTCTGAAGAGTTGTCTACTACATCCTATAGCACCCGCATCTATAGTAGTCACAATACTATTGCTCATATCTGTTCTTGTCTATGGAATCAATGGAAAGGAATTTGTCATATACTCAACGAACCCTCATATCGGTGAACCCGGACAGGTAGATTATTATATGAATGATTCATTCATAACTAATCAAAAATGAATTAATTTTCATTCATTAAGCTGGGATACTCATTTGCATTGGCATGCGTGGCGTGTGCATTGGCTGCAGCAGACAGTATACTATCATTCTTCATAATATGCTGCGCACAAATATGTTGTTAAAAAATATTTTTTCATTCTATGTAATATTGTATGCTTTCCAACTATATCACAATTCGCAAGAGAGGAGTAAAGTTTCATTCTATTCATCCATCTCTTCCACACATAGATGAGGAGGAAGAGAAGAAAAAAAAAGAAGAAAAATCAATATGAGGGGAGGGTCAGAGCCTCGTGTCGTTTCTTTGAATATTCAAATCAACAGAGCAAAAACTAACAACAACATTTTATTTTTTGGCCATCACCAAAGTAATCCACTATATTCTGTTTACGAGTGAGAGCTTGGAGGCTGTTTTTGCATTTTTGCCGAAAATAAAGAAAAAAACATTTCTTACTTTAGTTTGAAGCAAAACGATCACGTCGTCTCTCTTTAAACAACATTTTGTGTTGTAAAATCGCGTTCGTGTGGAAGTTAAATAGAATCCCTTTACTCATCAGATATTACTCTTCTACTATTCCTGCAAGCCTTGCTGAATCATGAGCATTGAGACATCATCCAAGTAATGCTTTTAGCTCTCATTCTCCGTCATAGATGAACTATGATCAAATCATGTTTGCAGCAATATCAAGAATTATCTGTCAAGAAATGAGACGTCTGCACAAGATAAATTAGAGTTCAAGAAATGCGCTTTCAACTTATGCTCTCAGTAATCGAATACTTTGAACATGAATCATAATGATTAATCATTTAGATTTCTTGCTGGCCCATGGAAAAATAGGCCCATTGAAGATTTTGAAATCAATGAGATAAAGTAGGTTTATCTTTGCTTATCAAAAACGAATCTCTGTTGTTGAGGGGCGGCATGAGCAATATTCTTTTTCTTTGCGAATTAAAACTCAATAGAAACCAATACTGTCAAGGATGTCCGAACAGGGTGATTCATTTCTCCTTTTTTTTCCTGATAATAGTTATCAAGACCAAAAAACATTTGAATGACATCACCATCTGCTTATCTTAAGGTTCTTATGCGCGTTTACTTCAATCCTCAATCTGAAGAGCATTTGGTCTCAGAGTCCGTTATATTCACTTTGCTGTCAGAACGACGTCTCGGGCCAAAGTTATACGGAATATTCAATGGAGGACGACTTGAAGAATTCATTCCAGTTAAAAAATGCCATCAGAAATGAGCATTCTTAAAGCAATGTTTCAGTCACGACCATTGTCTTGTGAAGAACTTTCCATCTCATCAATTTCAATGAAAATAGCCAAAAGAGTTGCTGCCATTCATAAACTAGATGTACCAATTCCCAAAGAACCTCATTATATCATGGATGTACTACGAAGGTTAATCAATTCGAGTTTATAGCTGTCAATTCAATTGTTAAGATGGCTAATGCAACTTAAATCTCAGGGGAAAAAGAGCTATACATTGCAAAATCAATATAAAGAGTCGACTCCCACACTTTTAACTATGGATACATTAGAAGCTGAATTGCAAACGTTGGAAAAATGTCTCGCTAAAAGCAAAAGCTTAGTGACGTTCTGTCACAACGATTTACAAGAAGGTTTTAAATAGCATTAGAAGACTGCAATCAAGATTCTTCTCTCATTTAAGGAAATATTCTCTTACTCAAACAAAGGCTCAGCAACATACGTGTTGCATCCAAAGATGATGAAAATTTTGAAGATAAAGAAGTTGATGAGATTACAGAAGGATTCATGAATCCACGTCTAGTCATCATAGATTTTGAATACGCTAGTTACAATTACAGGTATACACATATACTTAAAGCATTTAATAATTAAACAAATTAAAAAAAAAATAATTTTTGTTATTTGTAGAGGTTTTGATTTTGCCAATCATTTCATTGAGTATACTATGGATTATGATGTGAAAAAGGCTCCATATTTTTGTATTAAGAGTAAACAATTTCCGTCGGATACGCATGTAAGATATTGTCATTGTTCCAATCAATTATCATTCGAGCATCTTTTCTAGATGATTGAATTCTTCAAAGCCTATCTAAAGGAAATGAATGTTCCTTTGGCAAAAAGTATGACGGAAGCTACCATTTTGCTCGACGAGACTCTTCCATTTATTCCCGTTTCTCATCTATTCTGGGGCATCTGGGGATTGTTGCAAGTGGAACTCTCACCAATAAATTTTGGTTTTCTGGTAAGCAAGACTCATATGAAAGCTTGAAAAACAAAAAGTTTGAAATGTTAAGGAATATGGATTGGAACGTTTAGCTTTGTACTTCTTACACAAAGACAAATTACTGAAGCTTCTTGATGAAGAATTAGAATGAATTAGGTTGTCTTTAACCTTCTGTGTCCGTCCGTCCCCATCTTCTATTCTTCCCTTCAATCCTTGATAAGCATTTCATAGAAGAGAAAAGCTTTATACTAACATTTGTTTTTCGGTATATTTGGGCAATAAAGTGAGCTTTAATACTTTTATTTGTCTTTTCTTGAAAAGAAATAAAAAACAAAAAAAAAGAATTTTTTTTAAAATCAATATAAATCACTCGAAAACGACATGTACAATGAGCCTGGTACTAATGCTGATTTAAGATAGAATTATTGAAGATAAATATCATTTCTACCAAAATTCTATTATTTTAGATGTTGTACCATCAGAATATTTTGTGCTATTGGTCAATGGTGAATATATTCGACATACAGGACATGTTCTTGTCTTCTCAAACCATGAATCAATGCATTTCGTACAAAATACATGATTACATTTAAGCTGAAAATTAATATATATTATAATTCATATATATATATATATATATATATAGTTTCTATTATTTACTTTCTGAGGCTTCCGAAACTGATCACAACATATAGGGCATAGTTCAGCTTTTTCAATTTCTTCTGCAGTCGGCTGAATTCTATATTCCGTCAAATTTCCCAAACATCTTGCTACAGTAATGAGCTGTCCAACAACAATTTTAATCTAAATAGTGAATGAAGTGAAGGAAGGGGGGATATGTGTGTGTGTGTGAGAGAAAAGATTATTAATTACTTTGAATATTGAATATCCTATTATTAAGCATAATTTCTTCCAATTAATTATAATTTCTTCATCTATAAGCCATGATCCTTTGAAATAATGAATCCATTGCACAGTTATTATGAAAGAGCAGAATGTCTAAGAAGAGCATAAATCAAGATGATTCAATTCATTCTCAATGTAATACAAAACCTGAGATAGAAATTCGGAAAGCTGATAGAATTGGCTTTTGCTTGTTTGTGTCAAACATCCAGTTGGCATTGCAAAAATCTTCAAATAAAGTATATTATATATATATAGCATAATTATATATAGTTAATGAATGAGGATAATGAGAATCTGAAAGTATATCTTACCAAACTCTTCATTAGTATTGTAAATAATTTAATAAAATATATTGATAGAAATATTGTTTTGATAGTTCCAACAAACGATTCAACAGCCATATCCTATAATAGTTAATGATTATCATTATTATAATATCATATAGATATACAATGATAAGAATAACAGTTACTTACACACTTTTTCAGAAGAATAACTTGTTTTAAGCTATAGTTATCAACGGTGAATATATGATTGGAGGAAGAATAACAGAAAACAGCACTCATTGCTATTGCTCTTAATCGAATCAGAACACTTGGATTCTCATCTGAACATGATAATCTCATATACATATAATATATATAAATAATAATACTTTTTCGAACACATCGTTGAAACTTATAATCAGCATAGAATACCAACATGAAGCCACCAATGAGACGAGTTATAAGTGTAAAGTCTTCTGTCAGAAATTTGAGAAAAACAAATATGAAAAAGGTTGATACATTCCATATGATATTTAAATACTGTAAATAAAGATTCTTTTTGTATATTTGATAGATATTCATACATCTTGTGTATCATTCGCCCTTGTACCACATGTATGTCTTAATCGTTGTAGAATGCTTTCTTCATCTGAATAATCAAAATTATAAAATATTATATGATGATGATGATGATGATGACATCATACCTCGATCATGTTCTTCAGATTCATCTGAATTAGTTATTAACTGGGGAATATTCTGAAACAACTATATGCATATAAATAATAAAAAAATGAAACTGACAAAGAATGATGATGTATTAGCTGCCATAGAATATATATATTTGATTCTCTATTCTATAAATATAGATTATAATATATATTTATTTCATTTTTATATTACAATAAATCATTTACAATATAACGAGTTATTGCGTATTATTTCAATTTATTATTAAAATAATACAAGAAATCAATCAATATACATATAAATAACATTCTTACAATAAGCTTAACTTGAAGAAGAAAACTTTCTATATTGAAATGGATTAGATACATAACAGACATCACATCATATTGTAATGTTATATGAAAAATTGGAAGAAAAATATATCACTTAGGTCATCGTAAGATGTTTGTGACCATGAAATGTCTTTCGTGTTGTTAACCGTTCTCCGCAATCCCCCACATGTTTCCACACACACACAACTATCCAAGAAAATCAATATGAACTCGTATATCGATTGACATACATTCATTTGATTCTGCACGTGTGTTGAATGTCTAAAAACCTATCTGTCTGTAACCTTGGATTTATTCAGATAATATACGTCTCTCTCTCTCTCTCTCTCTCTCTCTCTCTCTCTCTCTGTAACTTGGCAATAGAAG